ACCTCTTTGAGCTTTTAAACATGGATTCAGGGATTGGGTCCATGCCCTGAACTGACAAATGTTCAATTGCTGCTCAAGTGAACTGGCACAAAGTACAGGAAAAGGATATGAAATTTTTAACTGATTTGTCAGTCAAGCAGTTATAATAAGTGAGTAGCTGCAGATCCTGTGAACAATTGCCAGTCCACAACCATAATAGTGACATGTGATGAAATTAATGTACTATATTTACTGACTAATTTAACCCAGAACGTATTTTTCCAGAGGTATACGGAATTCTTGATGAACAAGGGGATCGGAAATTCAGATGTACATCATGTGGAAAGATGTACAAGCGAAGATTTCTTCTCAACAGACACAAGAAATATGAATGCGGGAATATCAGACCTTTCTCGTGCCCAATTTGCCCTTACAAATCAAACCAGAAAGGGAATCTGAAACTTCACGTCTTGAACAAACATGATAATCTCAAAATTGATTAATTATGTTGAGTAATGACATGTGTTGAATGGATCATGGCTAGTGAAGTGATGGAAAAACTTCTATCTTGGAGGACAAGGAATAAAAAAAAATGGAAATACTTAAGTGATATTCATTTAAATTATATTTAAAAACTAGGCTATACATTGTCATTCTAACAGATCAAGCTCAGTTTTTGTATAAGGTATATTTGTTTTACAGTTTATATGGTATTTTATAGGTTTTGTTCTTGTTCCTAAATTTATAAGAAAATGTTAGTTTATGATAAACTGATTTTTTTAAATAATCAATCCATTATGATGGATTGTTTCTTTGATTCAAACATTTAAAAGTAGAGAATTCTTAAATAAATCTTGATCCTCAACGAACACTGGCACATTAGTTAGCCCAGACAAAGATGAAAAATTCTACTAGAGAGTACAATATACAATTTAAGAATAAACTACAAAGATATTTTCTTACCATTGTACAGTAATTTGTTTAATAAACAACTTTTATAGATAAAATGTCTATTAAACCAAGTTTCCCTTTACATAATTTTAATTTGACAACTAGTTACCTATTATTGATTCGTTTTTACACTGGTAATGCTCAAGTAAACCAGCTATTTAGTTCTTTCCCTAAGTTTTATTTTTTTTTTTATCCCCAAGTTTTATCCCGTACATCTAAGATCTGGAACTGGTGGACAAAAAGTGATAAGTATTTTATTAGCGATATTAATTTTGAACAAGGTAGCCTATAGGAGGGATCGTCAAACGTTTTCATTATACTCGATTATCTGATTTAAATTTATTCGGCCTTCCTTGTCATCGACCATTCGGAGGGTCCAGTACCGAAAAATTGTGTTATTTCCATGTACGTACATTGAAGTGGGTACGAACCTTGCTGCGGCCAGTTAAGACTCTACTGTATTAGAAATTGAAGTTAATAAACTTACCAACATTTTATTTCTAGGTATATCCAAGCCTGGAGATATGACTCGTAGACATAAGTGTTTAATATGTGGAAAGTCGTACATCCAGGGTTTCTTGCTGAACCGCCACCTTCGTTACGAATGCAGCGACCTGCGACTGTTTCCTTGCCTCATGTGTCCATACAGAGCCAAACACAAGAGCCATCTCAAGAAACACATGTTTCATAGACATAAGGACACAGTTCCCCAGCAACCAGTTTTGCCAAATTTGGAAAATATATTTTTTATGTGAAATATACGTGATACTCCTGTTTCTTGTTTTATTCTCCACAATTTGAGCTCAGAGTGTATTTTTCTTATTTTTACCTGCACAACTAAGGGTACTCACAAAGAAGTAAGGTACAGAAGAAAAACGCTTATGGGACGACGGTGCGCTTTCAGCTCTGGTATGTTAGGCCGGAAATATACTTGTGACAAGCAAGGAAGAATCAGATTGCGAGCGCTGCATGAAAATTTCTATCGCACAGGGCACAGGGACTTCCTCCACATTAACGTTGAAAATGATGGCAAGGGGGGTGGTGTAGGAGTTGTCCTAGACACCAGTACCAGTGCTAGATAATTTAATTGCTGTTAATATTTTAGTTGCATAAGGAAACGTGTGCCACAAACATTTTCTGACTTAGTTGAAATCATGGTGGAAGGAAAATACACATGTGTGCTATTCCCGTCATTTGCTGACATTGTAATCAAAATTGTAACTATAGTAGGTAAATAAAATTAACTAACCCCATATTCTAATGCTTTGTCCTTAGAAGGCATTACAAACATTGCACTATTTAAGACATTATCCTTATTTTCATTTTTGTGATAAATGTAGTAGTAATCTGGAAAGTTGATAGTTTTGAAATGGTTAACCATTGTTTTGTTATAGCCATGTTGATGCCGTTGGAAGTAATCATAGAAGAATCAAAAGGATTAAATTATCAATGCCCAGACTGTAACAAGACCTATCACAGAATAGACAGCTTGAAGAGTCATCAAAAGTACTATTGCGGAGACAAAATGAATTTTGTTTGCAAACTTTGTGGTTTTAAAGTAAAATATAAGTATCAGTTGCTTGCTCACATGAAAAAACTACATGGACACCACCCTTTGACTGCTAAAATGCATAAACCGAAAGAAAAATGTTTGAAATTCACAAGAATCAAAAGAAAAAAATACACATAAGAAAAATAAAGTGTAAAGAGAAATAAGGAATCTAAAAAAGTGTTTAAAATACAGTAAAAAAGTGTGTTTTTTATTTGTGGTTTCCCTTAATTTTAAGTAATCAGCTGTAATTCAGTTAATTGTTACAGTTTTAATTATTGACTCAGTTAGGTTGTGGCTCTTGTACATTTCATGTTAAATAATTTATCTGAAAAAAACAAAAATATATACGTCTAATTATAATAATTAAATGAAAATTTGCAACTCATTTTCAATATAGTTCATTATTTCATTCTTTATTTGTAATAATAGTGAGTTTGCTGGATGTAGCTTGTACAAATTATTTTATAATCTAGTTTAACTACCATGAAATTGTTTGTTTTCATTTTTCCTCTTCCATAACAACAATAACCGGAAAGGTTTAATAATTAATTTGTGCATGTTTTAACGAGCATGAATCAATTAACCGATCAAACTCACAACAATGTAAATATTTTTTTATCACATCTCTTAAATCAGTGGCTGTTTTTTTTTCTGGGGGGGGGGGGGTTAGCACCCTATATATTTTGTAGAGGGTAATAAATTCAGCTAAATATTTCAATAACTAATTTATCCAATTAGAAAATAATTTCTACTTTGACATAAAATTCCTCTATTTTATTTGCAGTTTTTACCTTTCGAGACTCAAAGGCAAATATATCAGCCTCAAATATATCAAGCAAATATATCAGTTCTGGCAAATATATGACAGAACTTGCTCTCGCAACTACCCATGGGGTGTATCAAAACGGTTAAAATCTATAACTGACTAGTGCTGCAATCTGGAAGTCAATTTTATAAGTATTATGGTTATTTTTCATCATAGTATACCATTAGGTCTCATAATTAGCTGAGCGGTTTAACACGTGTTGTCTCCTTGGGTCGTAGGTTTGAATCCCATCTCAGGATTGTTGTGCAATTTATGAGGAGTTCACGTCTGTAGCAACGCTTGGTGGGTAGGCCCACTGTAACGGTGGCTGGCTCAGGTTTGGAATTGACAGTGTGTGAACTCTTTGTGAATTGCACCTAAAATCTGTCATTTTACTATTCAAGTTCAAAGAATTAGATTACTACAAATTTCCTCCTTTTGATTTTTTGTTTTTTTTTTACTAATCTATTTCTGGAACATTCCAGTTAGGCTATAAAAGTTTCCCGTCTTACGATTCAAGATGTTTAATTTTAGAAAAATATTGTGAAATAAAATTAATATAGTAAGTGTACAATTTTTATGAGCACTTTGTAAATTAGGAATTTAAAAATCAACTAAAGAATCTTTGGGAAACAGCAAATTCAGCTATAATTGATCCAAAAGCCAATAGTTCTTAAAATATCATACCACAATCGATATTGAGTAAATGAATTTCTAAACAAACGTTGAGTAATCAAGTCCTAAATGCAACAAATCTTGCCCCCTGATTATCTAATACCGTCTCTACCTTATATTCTTGTTCCTAAGAGGATTCTTTTATGAATTTGTCTGAACAACACATAATCTTTCATAGGATTTGTCCCTGAATGGTTCAAGTGTGCCGACTGCGGACAGACTTACCGCTACAGGAAGAATCTCCTGAAGCACATGAGATACGAATGTGGTAAAGAGCCGCAGTTTTGCTGTCCGATTTGCCCTTATAAATCTAAACAGAAGGGCAATTTGAAGACGCATATGTACATAAAACACGAGAAAAAATAACCTCACCAGATAAGCTACAATTGTAGACAATATATTTTTATTAAATATCTTTATTCAGTTTGAATGCAGTACTTTTTTCTTTCCTTCATAAAAAGAAAGGTGATGATGTTATTTAGATTAGCTTATTCTTGATTGGGAAATGACTAATTTGTAGCACAGTTTCAGATTAGATGATTTGGTCCATCTTTAACTTACAAAGAGAACTATTATTTACAACTTTTGACTATTCATACACTACTGTTCAACACATTTCATTCCCATGTTTTAGTAAAATCCAATTTAGAATAAAAACATTTCAGTTAATTGAGCCAAAACATAATTTTCTACTCCAGAATATCTGTTTTGTTTTCCTTATAAATACAAACGTTTAATAATGATAATTATAAATTTGCAATATGTATAGGTAATTTTTATGTTAATTTCCTAGAACAGTGTCTTTTTATTTTCCAGGGTATATTTTTGTATAATTAAATTTTAATTCCCCTATTTCTGATTCAATATTATTATAATGAACAATTAAGTTTATTTAAAACCGTTTTCTAATTCCCCTTACTAAAATGATTGAGTAATATCCATAACAGCTGTCGATTTAATCAGATGGTAAACATAAATCAATTTGATAATGTTTAGAGTTAAAGATAGGTTATTATTCATGCATTTTCTACAGTTTTGTTATCTCAAGTCTTGGAGTTTGTTTAGTTGTGTGTTGCTTTATTTACAAAATGTTCAGTTTCCCAACAGATGACGAGCTGCAGGATTTAGCTTGGGAGAAGTGCAAGCAAATGTATTATAAAGTTCGACAAGCTCATGATTGGTATCACGAGAAGTATCTGTATATGAGGTCGGTGGTGACAGAAGAACGGTATTGTGTTTTTGTTCTCACTTATTATTTGTGCACAATATTTTCACTTCTTTACTTCAAAAATGTTTTTGTAAAAATTGACTAATGTAGTTTCAAAATATTCAGTGAACTGAGTTGACATTAAGTACAGCTACTACCGGTATCACGTTGGGAATTTATGTAAGTATGAGTACTATTAAGTGATGTGAATATGGATTTTAATTATCGATTAAGGTTTCACTATTCCTTTTCCCTTTAGAATGTAGAAGTTCCCCTTAGGAATATAGGAGTTTACACCAGACCTTTAGTTGCTGTGGTAAATTTTGAAGCATTTGAGTAACTTATTAAAGATAGATTGGTTATCGGGAATAACCAAACTTATACTTACAACCACCTATGTGAGTATACGTTTTGACGTTTGAATACTGAAGTATGTCCTATCTACTATACTCCGTTCAAACAGCCGTGGCACCTGATGGATTAGGAGACCACATGGAAACCCTTGGGGCCTCCTAATCCCTCAGGTACCACGGCTATTTGAACGGAGTATAGTATATGGGCGAGTTGTAGCAAATCTTTTACTCAAATAGAATATCTTTCACAGTGTGAGTTGTTGTTTTAAAATGCAATTTCTTATTCAGTTTTTAGTTCTATGGTATTTGAACTGACATTTAAGTTAGATGCTACAGATTACTGTAAGATGCCTTTTCAATTTATTTTGAGGAGCAAACTTGTTTAGTGGTACAGAGCGGGATTTCGGTCCCTGAGGTCCTGGGTTCACATCCCACCAAATCACCAGTGGACTTAAGTGATAATGCTCCAACCCCTAGATCTAGTCTGAAGTAATGTGAAAAACAATACCTAACGTCCTAAGACAATAAAAGATGGTATTTTTATAGTGTGTTTCCTGCATCGAAGTAAACATACAACAGTTGTATTTTATTTTACTTCGATGGTTTCCTGTTCACTAGAAGACAGTAAATTACTTCATTGCACTATATTAGTAGTAGGCCTAAGTGTAATTCAACTAATTCAATTTTTATCCTAAAACTATTTAAGGCTTTGTTATGGAAGTGGGGGTGTACTTCTAGTAGCCAAAGGTGTTACTCAATCAAAAACAGCTAAAAACCATACTTCGCTTCATACATTCATGTTATGTTTTAGGCTATATGTCATTGGAAATTATTATTATTTGTATAATCTAACCATGTATTTCAACGTTTCTGAAATATTTTTTTGGCCGTATACAAACCCAACCTAACCTAACGTAATGTAGATATTGTATGTAAAATTAATGCCATTATTTTATTATGGAGTTAACTAACCCAGTAAATCCATACAACACCAGCTAAGTATCAAACTGTAATTATCTAATTAATTTCATATTTTTCAATTCCGTATCTTTCTTTTGATAATAGGTGTCAGTATCGATCATAATTTCCTCGAATTCTTAGCAGGTTTTAGGCACTTAAATCTATACTGTATAAAAAATTAACAAATACCTATCTAGACTTTTACTACTTGAAAATTTATGGTACTGGCAAGTATGTTTATAAGAAAGATAAAACAAATAGTTAAATTTACTGTCAATGTTTCTGAGACAGATCTAAAAATCTTGTTTTCCTAGAGACTTAAACGTTGCCACTTTTATTTATAAATGCAAAACACAAAATGAGTTTAGTTGCTGGTAGGATTATTTTATTTGTTTTTGATTTGATTTTAACCACGATAAAAGAATTTTTAGTACCGTCATAGACTAACCAACACAAGTAAACTTCTCATCCCATTGTAAATTTTGAAGCACGTTTTTCGTGTCTAGTTCATGTACGTGACACATGGGCGCTAGTGTCGACGAAACTTTGTTTCTATTATTTTAGAGTTAATTTCTTGATTTGTGCTTTACTGTTTGGTTATATAACTAGGGGACAAGTTATTGTTTATGATTAGATCGTATTATTTGGTTAAATGAGGTTTTAAATGGCTGCAATAATGGGAAACAAATTGTAAACAAAACACGACTAACAATAAAATTGTCTTCAGCTGTTCCATAAGGATGAGAAATCTACTAAGGGAGTGTTTTATCTATGGTACCGTACACAACTAACACATTTTCTATCATTTTTATTTATATACTGCTATGAAAACACTATCTTCATTAGCTTTATTTATCTCTATTGAGATATTGGAACAAGTAAATATCTTGTTTAGTAATATAGAGATCCACTATTATCAAGATGATCATTTTGTTTATATTTTCCAAGTCAAATGGTTAATTTATACATACCTACTACAATATACTTTTCAGCTTTAAACAATGAATACCATTGTTTTAAGAATCATTGTATGCTGCTATGTTGGAATGTTAGTCCTTTTACTAACATTTAAGAACCGTTGGTAAATTATTTTACTATTACCGTATTATGAGTGCAAAAGTATTGATTTTAGCCAACCATAAAATCAAACTTCGACAATATTTTATGCATCACATTATAATGAGTACTCCACTTATAATCAAGGTAAGAATCCCCAGGTTAATGTTAAGAAAATGATCAATCATAGATCACATTTGCTCTTTCTTGCAGATTTTGCTTTAAAAAATAAAATAATCTGTATTCATATAATTTTTATTGCTGCAGTTGTTTAATACTTTCTAGGTTGTATCACCTATATTGTTATCATTTCAATGAAATGTGTTACTTAAGTACAGCCTTGTTAGCTAAGGCTACGCAAATACTGTAAAGGTTCTCCTTATTCAAATTTGATATTGTCTTTTATTTCAAAATAGCTGTACTCGTAAAATGTTGAACAATTTGCATTCAATCAACTGAAATGAACCCACACAGATTATATTGTAAGTATTATAATTTTAAACTCAAAACACATGTTGATTTCTTTATAAAATTACACAGATATTATGTAAAACTTCGCTTTGTTTGCACAGTCTTTAGCGATTTTTACCCTTATCATGTAGCTTTAAATAGTAAAATGATAGGTTTCTTGTCCTTGTGTAGTGTAACAGTTGTTTAGACAGTTGAAGAGGTACTGTTAGAACATACCTTAACAGGTTTCTTCTATAAACTGAAAATCAAAGCATCGCAGCAAAGATGCATTTGATTTTCTTATTACTTTACAGATCTTATTGTATCTTTTACCTAACTCTTTCTTTTCAGTTCTGTTTGACACCGTACCAAAGAGAACTATACCAGCACGGGAAACCTTCTTCCCACAGAGAAATTGTGGTACAAACTGCAACAAATTATCACGTCAGTGTAGTCGGATAAGTGACGAAGAAAGACTACAAATCTGCCTAATCTTCCACGGATTGGCCGACAAAGACCGTCAAAGATCCTTCATTGTTCAACATATCCGTCAGACCACTTCAAAACGGCAGAACCCTTTCCAACGCCAAACCAACTACTACTACCTGCCCAAAGACGGGGAACAGATAAATGTGTGTCAAAATATGTTTATCAATACTCTAAACATTTCGGAGAAAGTCGTAAGGACTGCTCTTGCCAAACACAACAATGACGCTTATAACGGTGATGTAGATTGAAAATAGATATGCAATGGTTATATGTTTGGTCTTATTTGCCCTTGATTTCTCTACTTTACAAGATGAGAGATGTCTTTAATCAATATAATTTCACAAAAGATTTACTTAATCTTGGTTATTTGCCATGGAAGTTTCATTCATGGGCTTGTGTTCATGAAATCACTAACAAATATGTACGTTTAAAGAGTAAAGATTTAAATTTATTGTATTTTCCATTGTTGAATCAAAGTATTACATTTCTCACTATTCACACATTATAATTAATCAAGAAGTTATTTATAATTAATCAGAACCTTTTTATTACAAGTCAGAAAAGACACTTATTTTAAATCAAATTCAAACTATAATTTACATTTTGGTGAAAGAAAGCTATACTGTGCCAGGGGGGTTGCTACAAATTGGTAGCAATTTTTGCAATACCAATAGGGATAATCTCTATCTTACTATGACTGTACCATGTGTTTGATTTGTAAATATGAAGGTACCACAATTAAATCTTAGCAGGAGTTATGACTTAAATGACTCCTCTACATTCTTCATCATCCTCCTAATTTCCCTCCAAAACTCTTCTGTTCTTAACAAACAATACAACAATTGTCCTAATGCAATGTTTAATTCCAGTGTTCCCCGATGAAACTGAAGAGCAGGCCCAGTTTAATTGTTTAATGTGTCAGAAGACCTACAGACATAAACGTAATCTCTATAAGCACATGAGGTTCGAATGCGGAAACAAAAGACCATTCTCCTGTCCACATTGTCCTTATAAAGCGTCGCAAAAGGGAACTCTCAAGAGTCATGTGGTTATAAAACACAAAAGTCTAATGTTCACTTAGTTTTTAAATAATAATTTGTTTAAAATCTTCATGATCTTGCAATGTATTAAATTTATTCACTTTTTGAATCTGGTATTACTGTCCAATTCTAACCTACAATTGACAATTTTATCTTTTAAAGTTAAGCATTTGTTTTTTTAATTTATTTCTGAATACCGTTTTTAAGAGGGTATTATTTTTGTAAAGTGACAGGATATTAACTGCAAACTGTTACAGTGTTTAGTTATAGTGATCACATTTCTTACATACCATACTTAAAAAATACATTTTCTTTACGTACCGGTACAATATATAATTTGAACTACTAAATTTACTGAATGTGCTCTCTCAAACATTTAATTACTGCTTGAAATAATTGATCCCCTAATTGATTGTATTTATTTGAACAAGGTTACCTACAATCACCTACAAACAACAACAAAAAGACGAAACAAAAAAAATTACTTCGGCCTTTATACAGAAAATATAACTGTTTAACTAATCCAATAAAAGAATCTAAGAAACAAGCTTATTATAAAACAAATGTCACCAAAGTCGGAATCTTATCTTAGTATCCTCATTTTAGCTACTTCTAATATAAATAAAGTTGAAGACTTGCCTTCTTTCTCTGTTATAAAAGGAACAAACTGTTCTACAAATGTGTAGCAATTTAAACCTTGCAAGTATAATTTCAAATGTGAGTGTCACAGCTTATAGGTGGTATCCAATAATTTAGTCTTAATCAAACTTTACTTTCAATATAATTCTCTCAGAAAAAAACTTGCAAGACATTGTAAACGCTATCTTACATAAATGCATTCTAAAACCAATTTATTATTCTTTATAATTTATTAACTAAATTTAAAAAGAAAGCTATAGTTTTTGTAAATTATTCTTGTGGTATTCTCACTTTTTTCAATATTTACGCCTTTGCGTCGCAGGAGATTCGGTGATTTTTGTGGCTCAACCGGACGGCAGCGAGAGATTCAGGTGTGCCAACTGTGACAGAGAATATCTTCTCAAGTCGAGTCTACATAAGCATCAAAAACTGGAGTGTGATGGTCAAAGGAGATTTTCTTGCAATATCTGCAACTATAAAGCATCACAGAAAGGCAATCTTAAGAGGCACATTGTCTTGAAACATCCTGGACATACTTGGTCTCAATTGTGAAACGTCTCATCATCAGGGAAGGACATCATTTTTGAGTTTGTGATGTCCAAAAACATGAAGGCTTACTGTGCAATAAACATCCATAACTTGGTAAACAATTTCTGGTCAAATAGGCATTTTTACAGTTCTTATACAATATCTTAATTTTTTTGTAAGCTTTCAATTAAAGCATATTTTATTTATTTAATTGTTAAATTTTTAACTTGTTTAATATTTAAGTATTATTGTGCTTTCTGAGTATAATAAGGTCTAATAAGTCTAATAAGTGATGTGTTCATTATTTCATATTAGTGTTGAACTATAAAATAATGTTTTAGTTGCATTTTTATCAATTTTGTATGATTGTTGTTTGTTTTTTTTACAAGAATAGAGTGTGTGAAAATACAAAAAAATAAAAAATATTTATGAATTTATGAGTTTTTAATTTTTTTTATCCCTACAGTCAAAATGTGAACTGTAACTGAAAATTTCAAACTCATAATTTCTTTATTAATAAAATAAAATGACTCCCTGAACCGAAGGGCTAAGTTGATGAGCATTTAAATACATTTTCTTACTAAAATAAAACATCTCTTCTAAGGTATCAAATAATGTCTGCAGTATCACATTTCTTAGGCACCTCTATAAATAATATTCTTAGCAACCAAAAGTCTGAAAGGGTAGTGAAATTGTATTTGGTTTGTGCATAAGTGCGATGAGAATTGAAAAAATCATATTTATCAATGTGCTAATGCTATTGTCCTTAACCGTTTTTGGTAAAAATGTGTACTCTAGTATTTCTATAGATTGTAATGTTAATAATTATTACACATTTACCATGAACCATGTCCTTAAATTGAAATAGTTATGATTGAAAGTTTTCAGGTCAGTTCACCATCCTATGGAGTGGTGGGAAAAAAAGATATCAGTGTCTGAGTTGTAACTTGCTATTCTTCAATCAAGTCCGTCTCAAGCAGCACCAAAGAAAAATGTGCGAAGCGTTAAAAAACATAACTGTGAGGAGACGGTCAAGGCGAAGAATTTTTTCTTATGTTGGAAGAAAAACTATTTAGTATAATGGTTTAACTGATTGACTTAATTGGTTTTGAGTTTTACAAGGATAATTTCCGCTTTTGAAATTTAAAATGCTGTTGGTTTATCCTATAACAAATATAAAAAATCCTTGTTTTTTGGCTAATAAAGATTTATTTGGACATTGCTGCTTCAATTATATTATACACCTAATGGAAAAACAAAAAACATTGTTTATCCACTAGCAATTAAGTAAAATAAATATTATATTTTTGTTTTTTGGATACATTTTTATTAATTATCGTAAAGAATAAATCACCATTTAAAATAATAGTTGTTAACGCAGTAAGGCGCGCCTGGTAACTGCTAGTAATAAATATAAAAATAAGTCCAACTAATAACATTTATTTATTATTTAATATTATTATTATTACTTATTACCAGTTGAGATGGTGGCCACCTAGGTGCCCCACAGTGTAGTAGCCTTGTGTATTGTCGAGACCACTTAAGTTTGCAGTTGAGGGAGGAGCCTATTTACCATATGGTTTTGAATGGACCAATGAGAACCGTGCGGTGTTGCCAAATCTAATAATACCAGCTGATTTGAAAATGCTTAGTATATTTTAATTTGTGTTGTCAACAGGCGATGTGGCAACGTCACACTAGCCTTGTCTTTTTATTGGCTGTCACCAACTGCAAACTTACGTGGTCCCGACAATAGCTTTGTTACTGACTATAATCAGCTGTTTCATTAGCTAGGACCATTAGTAAAAAGCCCAATGTTCGAACCATCAATAAGCTACTAACTTTTCTCAGGATCGAACCGGTAACCTTTTGATTACTAGGCGAGCACTATAACTAGTTAGAAGTTAATATTAACAGATAAATAAACTTTTTAATATAATTATATTTTTCAAAAATGAGTTTCTCTATAATAAAATAGCTATTGTTGTGTTAAGCTTATTAGAGAATAAATAAGACATGATACTAGCTCTCTACTTAATACAAACAATGACTATTTCAATAACACAACTAGAAGTCCTGTAAGTGTGCAGCGTTGCTCCAACAAGGGGACTTGTTTGTTTTTGTATTTTCAAGGTTTTGGGTTTAGTAGTGAGAAAGATTTTTTCTCCTGAATTCAACAATGTATACATTTTTCAGTTAAATTTAAACAGGCAAAATTTCAGCTACACTAAACCTCTTAACACTCCGGTCCTTGTCTGAAACACAAACTAATTGTGATTTACCGTCCAGGCGCAGACATCCCGTGGCTGCATGATAGACGCCAGTTACACCCACATGTGTGTGATGTTTGCGGCCGAAGTTACAAGTATCGGGACAACCTGCTGCGTCACAAGCGACAAGAGTGTCTTAAAGAGCCCAAGTTCGCTTGCGACTTTTGTTCCTACAAGGCGAAGTATCGCAGCAGTTTACGAGCTCATATAGTCTGCAAACACTCGGAAATGGTGAAGTCTTCGGTTTGAAGATCATTGAATATTTTTATAAGTATTAAAGTGAGGTATCTGCTACAAATCAAATATCTAAATATAGTTTAAGTGTTTTGTAGCAGAAATCCCAATTTACAACTACTAATATGCCTGTGATTGAATAATTTTTTATGTGAGTTGACGTTTTAAATTATAAAACATCTTGTTAAGTTATTTCAAACTATACCACCAAACGAATAGTACTATAATAAAAGCTAAAAAATATCTTACTATTATTTTTTTATGTTTCTTATTAGGAGTTACAGTATTTTTGTTTAGTAGTTTACTTGTGCAAAGTGCCTTAACAATTTTAGATTAATCTGATTGGGATTTTTATGTTGAAATGATACAAAATTTTAAGCTTTAGGCCTAATGTATTTTTAGCGCTGAATATATAAAAACATGTTCATGCTTTGTTAAACGTTCCATTTTTTCCGTAGGCAAAAATACAAAAATATGAAATGATTTTGTTTTGACATAATTTACTTCATAACGCTTTTTGACAGATCACTGGACTTGAATTTTGATATTTCTACTAACCACGTACAACCAATTTATAGTTCTTAACAAATATATTTGATCCCACTCAGTGTAAATACTTATTTTTATGATTTTTGTTAAGTAAATTTTATTTATACTGTACTTATTTTTACCAATGTTATCATTATCTTCCAGTTAGTATATTGTACAAGTGTAATATTTTTTTTTATTCAGTAAACAATTTTTATGTTATAACATTTAGAGTAAAGTGTATTTAGGTTTATTTTTAAGGTTTGAAGTGTTATTCTTCCTTTAATTTCAATTATAATTTTATTTTACTTGCCAGCAGCAAATTTAAAATGTGTACTTGAGTCTGTTTAAAATAATGTACTGTATTTGTAATAAATACAACACAGCTTTTAAATACAGTAACATTGTGAATTTTTCTTTCCCTACTGTTTTGCCATAATCTTTTTGATTACACACAGATCAGGACTGATTAAGTAAATGGGCTCGCTGGGCTGGAGCCCGGGGGCACAAGGGGTTTTAGGTTTGCTGGAAACGCAAGGAAGGGAAAGATTCCCTCCCAAGGAAAAAGGAAGAGCGCAATTATCTCCTGGCCCTATTGCGTGTCACTTGAAAACCGCAAGCCTGACACTGATGACTTACTGGTTTTGAGGATAAGAGTGGGAAAAGGAATAAAATATAAGAAATATTTTTTTATGGTATTTTTTTAATGGGGATAAAAGATATTTCCCAAACTTTTCTCAATCTACAAATCATCTATAACTTAATCTGTGTGTAAAATTATTTCATTTATTAAATGTTCATTTGTGTCTATTCACTTTGTTTCATAATTTTCATTGCACCATTGACTGTAGATATTTCTCCTGTGAAGTATATATTCCATGCTAAGTTGTAGCCAGTTTTTGAGCGAAGCAACTTTTTAACCATGCCAAATTTACAAGGAATTAGTGGAATATATAAACCATAGCATCTCTCTGTTTCCCCTCTCAGTACTATGGGATGAAAAAAATCAAAATCTACAAAATAATTACCACATTCTGTAAGAGACTTATTTAACACCCTTCTCTCCGAGTAAATACTGGCTCATCTTGGCTCTATGCATGGAACATCTATTTTACTATCTAAAGTCAATGATATCACATTTCTATCATTTACTTGAAAATGTACTCATTTTTCCAAATGTGTGGGCTTATTGTGTGTGTTCATGTTTTGTAAGGCAAACAGCTTGTATGTGATGATGTAAAAAGGGAAATCTACTTTATGAGAAAATCCTATACATTTTTTAGAAAATTATAAATTGTATGAAAAGGTTATGTGTGGGTAAAACGCTTGGGGGTATGAAATTTGCATGTGGGATTTGTGTTAGGCTTTATATCCAAAAAAATTGTACAGAACTTAAAAAGTCTCATTATTGTTTTAAGTACTTTCAAATTTGATCAAGATTCAGTTGAGTGATAAATTGATTGAGATTAATGAGAAAAACTAATTTTTGAAATAGTTTTCTAATTATTGTATTGGACCCCAAAGGATTGTTTCACCAAAAATAAGAAGTGCCAGAAAGCAAAATAACATAGTTTGAACTATATCCAATTTGTCTGTCCATAAGTCAAATTCTAAAGCAACAATGTTCTTCTGCACCTTGTGGCACTTCTATTTACTCTTTGGACAACACTAATCCATCACAATCCTCCTGTGTTTCAAGTTATTTGGTTGAATGTAATTTTGAAAAACTTTTGAAAGTTCTGCTTTCAGAGAACTTTTGCTGCCCCTACTGCTTTCGTGTTTACAAACACAAAACCTCAGCCAATCGACACGCTCGTGAGTGTACTGCCGCTCCTCAACTGATTCTATGTGGAATCTGTGACTTCTCAAGTTACGACAAGAATGAACTTTCCCAACACTGTCTCGAACAACATTTCTGAAAACAGCAACGAACCCAAAATACATCCTTGAGTAAAACCAAATATTGCACTTAGTGTTTTAGAGATTAAACATTAGTATAATATTTTGTTAAAAGTGTTCAAAATGCTATAGTCCTTTGTTCTTTGTATTATTTTCAAAATGGCCAATGCTCTCCCAACTCTGGCTGGAACAATCTTGTATATTAAAAACTTTTGCAAAACTTATGACAGCTAGCCAGACCATACTACTGGACCGAATTACACACGAGCTGTACCAAAAGAAAGGTTATCGGTCCTATGTGCAGGTTTTATTTGTATTTTGAAAATATTTAAGTTAATTTGGTCTAAAATAGAAATTAAACTTTTCTCATGGAGATTTAACATGGGGCTAATTCTATATATTTATAGACAAGCATGTTTATTGAAAACCTTTTTTCAGCTCCTGTGCATGGCAGGGAAAATCTACATACTGTTAGAAAGATATTTGCCTGTAGATGTGCAGAATCCCTTTATAAATTAAAAAAGGCTCAAAAATAAGCACAAAAAATGTATTTAAAATTTAAAAAAAATTAACATGGGCCTTATGGGTTCCCATGTTGGTGACAAAATAACAACAAAATATAAACAGAAAATCAAAACAAATGGATTAATTTCCTATCACATGTTTTAGTTACAGTGTGGGGTGGAAATAGAGAAGTTTGCACAATACATACTTTTGGTTCTAATAATCATCTTAGTAACTTGAATTGAATTGATTCTTGGTGACCACACACAGATTCTTCTTATAATCTTTAGTTTAAAGTGGTATTTCCTTAATAAATAATCTTTTAACACAGCCAAGGATAACACTTTTAAAAACAGTGTTGTATCCAAAATAATACCTTGTTTAACACCATAAGTTAAATTTGGTGGTTTAGAGAATGCACACCTGTAAGAGCGAAATGATAAGTATCCTTATATATACAGAATGTTGCTTCACATTTTAATTAGTATATTAATGTGAACGAAAGCTATTTTTATTGTAAACTCATATTAAAATTGGTTAATATATACCAAGGCTACTAATATCAGTAGTTCAAGGTAAAAAACTACAATACAAAATTTAACACAAAACATTACATGTATAATTATTAAGTTATCTAGGTTAATAAAATCTATGAGTTTGGGAGAGTTCTTTAGGCCGATTTTTGTTATAATACTTGTACTATGTTTAGCTTTTAGTAGTAGTATTAGTGTTTGCTTTTAGTTACTTACAAATTATTACATACTTATCCAAACGACGAAAACTTTAAGAGTTTAAGTCATATTGTTTAATTCACTTTATAGTATATATTAGTTAAGTATAGCATATTGTTACTTATTGCTAGGGCATTTCAAAACTCAGTTGTTTCTCAGCCTCTCATATCAACCACTGCCAGCTTATGAAGTGAGGAAGGCTTTAAAACAACTTTGAGTATTGCATTAAATATTAAAGCACTACTTACTGCCTTATTAATACTGCCATTTTGACTTGCCTTATACATAAGTAACTTAGGGGTGCAACTAATTGTGCTTATTAATGTTGTACTCAATGCATAGTACTTAAGCATAGTTTTGTTAGCAGTTTCAAGATACTGATTTTGAGCTCAATAACCATTGTGTCTTATATGATAAAAATGTTTAATTTAAAAATATTAATTGGAGAAAAGAGGTTACTGACCGGTTCCTGTTGTCCCGGGTTCAAACCCCGCCAAATCACCAATGGATTTTATCTAAGTGATATTGTCGTAACCCCTAGAAAAAAAATTAAATTAAATTGCTTTTGTTGTTGTTTCCTGCTCTTGATTACGTAAGGTGGTTGTGTCATCCAAACAACATCTTACCTGTTCTTTAAAGTCAACAACAACAAAGGTAATAAAATTTTGAATCTAAGATAACAAAAAATAAATATGTAATTTCATAGATTTTATTTTATTATTTTGTTACGCTAAAATGCTTTTGTCTTTATTTTACTCCATTCTATTTGCTATTTTATTAACAAAAGTGAAAACGCCAAATAGATATTTGGGGTTTAAAATGTTTTTTTCACTTATGTTATAGGCTAGTTTTTGTGTTGAGCCTTATTGTTTTGTATGAGAAGTTTTTGTTGAGGGAAAGTTGTTTTAGTGGTGGTTAAGTAGTTGATTTTGTAGCTTTACCAAATATATTTTGTAGTCAATGAACAAAGAGACTTTGAAACATTCCAAAGCTATATTTACTTTAGCTTTTACTTTGTGATACAAATCTTTGTTGTTCTAGTATAAAACCACCACCAATTCACAAACCAACAAGTCTATCACTGTTTAGACAAATGACTTTATTATCTTGCTTATGTAGCTTCATCATGTATTCCTTTATTAAATGTGTGCCTTATCCTAGCTATTAGTGTTTAATTAATACACATTTATAATTTTCCTTGAAAATGCAATGTACCTTTGCTGCAATCCATCATATAAAATCTTATTATTTGATAACACTACAGTGTCACTTAAAAATAAAATTATAAGAGTTTTTTTTTGTTTTAGATTTTTATTTTTAATGGATTGTTGGAGTATTTTAAGACTTGGGTACAAAATTAGTAAACAAATACTCTCAGACAATTAATTACACTTTTACAAATTTTCACCTTAATTACTGAACCTGAATGTACAATTTTTAAACTTAAGCTTTACAAACATTGTCTTTAAATTTCTTAACTGGGGTACATTGCAACCTTAAGTGCATATTCATAATCCTTATATCCTAAAATGTGCTTTATTCAATAAACATTGTGTTTTTCTCAGTTTGGTTTTTAACTTTCCTCCGTTTATTTTTTTTTTTTTTTTTTATAAAATTATCTAAATTATTTTACTTAATTGTTTTTATAGAGTTTAAGTTCTCTGTCCTAGAAGTCCAAGGTCCAAGTTCGAATTTCAAAAATTGCCAATGACTATGTGTTAAGCATTTTTCCAAGTATATTTTGCTTTGTGATAAGCTAGTAAAAAATATATATATATTTGTATAGAGAAATGTCTTTGTAAGGAGATATACCTTCATGAAAATCCCTAAGTTAATTTTCATTGCTTATAGGATGGGATATTTAAATTGTTATTGGAATATCAGAAAAAATAATATTAATAATCCTAAATCATTGTATAAGCTGATTTTTTAGGAAACACAGTAATTAAATTTTGTTTATAATCTTAGAACCTCACTCTTAACAAACTGTTTCTAGCAGGAATAACCAACATTTATTACCAACTAGGATTCTACTTTTACCAGTGAGTACCAATTTTTAGTTTACTTTGGGTTGTACAATCCTAAAAAATTAAGCAAATAATTAAAGTGAGTATAAGAAAAACTAACTATTCATTGTTGATTTTCCGACTAACATAAAAAAACAATATTTTTACTCTTAAACTAATTTTAAAACAAAAATTAACTCATAGAGCCTGCAGTCAAAAGAAAATATATTCTAAGTAACATATATTTTTGTGAAACCCAAAATTCACAGTAGTGTTTCTTTCCAGCTTATCCATGGATGGGGTCGTTGTTTCCGTGTGAGACTTGTGGCAGAGCTTACCGCTACAAGACTCATCTCCACAGACATCGGAGATACGAGTGTCAACAACCTCCTCGGTTCCTGTGTCCTCACTGCAGCTACCGAGCCAAGAGAAAGGAACATTTGCAGACACATATGATCAACAAACATAGCAAGTAAACAGGAGGAAACAGTGGTACCAACTGTGGGGAGAAATACATCATGAGCATTTGTAGAGACTTCTGACCAACAAACATAGCAAGTAAACAGGAGGAAACAGTGATACCAACTGCAGGAAGAAAGACATCATGGATGCTCCAGAGCCAGGAGACATCTGCAGAGACAGGATTTTTCAGAGATTTTTCATCTGCAGAGACATTTTATCAACAAAAATAGAAAGTAAACAGGAGGAAACAGTGATATCAACTGCAGGAAGAAAGACATCATGGAGCATCTGCAGAGACATTTTATCAACAAATATAGCAAGTAAACAGGAGGAAACAGTGGTACCAACAAGGAATAAATTACGTAGTGTTCTTTATAATTCTAAAAAAAGGCTTTTAAAGCAACTTTTGTCTGGATAAAGCTGGGGAGTGCTTCCAGGATAAATAAAAGAAACCTAAATAAAAAAATTATTTATTCTAAAACCATATTTAGTGGCAAAACACCATAGCTGTGGAGGTCAAATAAAATTTCCTCTTAGTAAAGCACAGTAAAGCACTGATAGAAACATTTTATGAGTTTGAAAATACTTGGAGGGTTCCAAGGAACCCTCCAAGTATTTTCAAACTCATAAAATGTTTCTATACGGTTTATGGTTCTGATTTGAGCATAGCCCAAACATAACTAAACTGAATTCCGCCCTTGACAAAATCACCCCACAACAAAAACCTGCAAACCATTTGATAAACAAACCTGATGTTAAGAAAGAAATCAGGCTTACCAACTGTGATAAGAAAGAAAACATCACATTTATAAAATTAATAATCTAAAAGGCACATAATTAAACTAAGAACACGCAAAGATTTATAATTCAGATTTTTTTCAGTTAAAGTAAGTATAGCCTTTGTATAACGTAACAAAACAAATTGTCTGTGGTTGGCTAAATCTTTTTATTAGAGATTTCACCTAAAAAATATATATAACATTTTCTCTTAAAACAGTTTAATGGGATATACAAATGGAGATACTCTATTGAATGACTTCTTTGTTTACTTTATATACTTAAAACACATTTAATAGTGTGGTAACAATACAAATTTTGGTGTCTTTCATGTACAAATACTGAAGTCAGTATACTCAACTTTTGACTGTTTATATTTAACCTCATAGCTCATAATGGTTTTATATACCCTTAATCTATACGTTTTTTTACTCCATTTACCATAAACGCTAGAATTATTGTGACTAATTAAAAAAAAAATATATACAATAAATATTAATGTTTATCAAATAAACGAAACAATATTGTTATGGTTCAATGAGAAAAATTGTTATGGTTCAATGAGAAAAATTGAATTATGTATTCTTAGTGTATTTAGTTAGTAAAATATTTACTATAAAGCAATATCTCTGTGTTCACCATTCAACGGACTTACGAGGTTTCAAACTTCAAAATTGTAAATAGTTTGTTTATTATTTATTTGAATACTTTTGAAAAGTAAGATAAAAGATCAGATTTTATAAATTATGTTTTTACAAATTTAAGCTTTGTTGACATTTATATACACAAGCCAAATATTTGTACATACTTAAAGAATCATTAATTTTACTAACTTATCTCAAGAATCAAATAACTATTTCTGTGATATGTAAACTGTATCAAATACTGGTTGGTATTGTTTTAATAATTTCTTTATTTGTAATGCGGTTTTGAACCCTTTTTATGTCTTCTTACTAGAGTATTTAAAAGGTTATGTTAGGTGTTTGATATTTGTTAATATATTCATGTTCACTCTGTATTTGTTATATTGTCTTATTGTTGGATAAAAAAGACTGTCAATTAAATCTGTGGCGTTTTGTATGAGTCCTGCAAACCTTCAAATGAAAAAAAAAACTGTTTTTTTTATTTTTTACCATCACAATATGGTGTAATACTGTGTAACTAGTTAAATACACAATCTAAAATACCGGTAAGTTTTTTGTTTTTTTTTTTAGTTTAAGTTACATCTTCTAGTTGAACAAAAATTACAACACTTGTGGATAATTTATTTTATTTTGAAATATACATTTCCCACATTGTGATTTTTTATCAATGGTTAGTTTTTAAAGATCCCTAAACTGAAGGTGGTAACTTATTTAACCGAGCCAACGATAGAAGATGCTTCTAAAAATTTGTTTTTACATTGCTTATCCCCAACTGAAAATATTCAATTTCAAACAGTAAATTTTTGCAGTGTAAAGATCAATCATTTATCACATTTTTGAAAGCTAGAGAACATATATTGTATATCGAATGGCACAGCTATAACATAGATAATGTACACGGATTTCAATGAAGACTTTGTCTTACTGTATAAAGTAATAATGTTTTAGTAGATTAGATTTTTATTTGTGCCATCCACTTTTTTATTGTATTCTAAACACCTTTGGTATTTTTTATGGTTTGTGTAAGGGAAAACATCCAAACACTGGGTTTGATAATATCTTTCGACCTTGTGTTAGACAACATCATTATTTTAAGGACACAATACGGATCAATCTAAGCCCCTAATGTTCCTTTGTTATTTGAAGGGTCAACCAGGAATCAGTTGGAGCAAAGCCCCACTAGAAAAAGGCCATGCTGCAGGATCCATGACGTCACACTTGTAGATAGATTCACTGCCATATCCTATATGTTTTAGGTAAAATAGCTCGCTGTTTGTCAGATTCTAACGTTATTACGTCTGACAACTTTGTACAACCACCACTGTGACATAGTGTTGCAGTGCTGCATGGCCTTTTTTTCTAGGGGCCTTGGTTGGAGTTGCAACACAAAATATGACTCTGTATAATTGTATATGATTTCACAAACGATGAATGTATATGATTAGGGCAATGAAATATCCAACTTCACTCTCTTGCGAAAGGTTACGTAACAAACCTCATCAATGCATATTGAACAATATTGTTCATGCAAGTCACTTGCTCTGATTCATCAATGTTCATGTGTCGTTTGCAGGAGGTTTCGCATGTGATCGTTGCGGTCGTACCTACACCCTTAGGTGCAACATGTTGCGGCACTGTCGGCTAGAATGTGGACAAGAGCCGAAGTTTGCGTGCGGACTTTGCCCTTATAAAGCCAAGAGAAAAGAACACCTCCTGGCACATACGGCTTTCAAACATCACACTTTAGGAAACACTTGAGATTCTTCAGTCTATGTCATTTATAAATTTTTAATTTTTAATAATTTTAATATTTTCTATTATTTCTATAATTACCTTAAAAGTATTATTCACCTTATTTTATATTTAAGTGATGAGTTTTCTCCAGCCCCACAATTTTAGTTCATAGTTTTTATATTATTGTAATTTACCAAAATGGTTTATGTGGAATGTTACCTCATTATTATATCTCTCTGTTGCAATACAACTAAAATATAACACAATCAGAAACAAATAACTGTTTTGTTGAATTTTAACCTAGCATAAACGTAAATTATGCTAAATATGTAAAAAATTATGAGTTCCCCAGTCTGGGGAACTCAAGAGTATTAACTGTTGGAAAACTGTATCCTAAGGTCCAGTTTAGGATTCTACTCGTTTAACACAATTGTGTAATTCTGACTCATATTTTTGCTTATTTTCACAATTAGTATTTCAACCTTAAATGCATAGGAGGTTTTGGTTTCTACTGGTCTATATCTTACTGAATCCTACAAAATATTAAGCTATTACTTCTTCCCTTTAATAAGCAAGAATGAGAAAATATTCAATCTTGAAGCACCCAAAGTACAGATAGGCCAAAATGCCCCAAATTCTGTACGTGAGGCCAGAACTGGTCAGGTCTTGGCTAAGGGGTGGGCGGAGATAATTTGGTGAAAAAAATTGTTTCTGAAGACCGTGACAAATACATCTGGCCAACCGATAAAGACAACTTGAAAGATACTCCTTCCGATTGCAAAGGGTCAATTATGCTGTGTTATTTTACATAATGCTAATATTCTTCAGGTCTGCTGATGTACGAATGTATTTCCTGCGGAAAAAAGTACAAATACAAGGATACGTTGGTGCGTCATGCTCGTTACGAATGCCACAACCAGCGACAATTCCCCTGCACACTTTGCCACTACAGGGCAAAACGTAAAGAACATTTGGTGCTTCACTTGAACAAAAAACACAGCACCATTTTAGTCTGAAAATAAGTTTTTGGTTGTATATCTCTCATACTGTCTGCGTTTTGTATATAGTTTTATATATCTCGGTTGAAAATAAAATTTACTTATTGGTTTTGAACTTTATGGATTATTTGTGCCCTTTGTATCATAAAGTAATATTAAGACCCATGAGTTTATTCAGCATTGATCCTCAAATATTGTTTATATATATATATACATATATATATATATATATATTAGTACTAAAGTTCTCAGTTTGAGGATCATGTTTAAATATGATCACTGTGGAATATTGTATGGACTATTCAGTCATTTACCGAATAAAATTTAAGTTGTAAAAAAACCTGTATTTGCATTACGTAATCTAAATTTGATCTGAAACCGAGTAAATCTAAATTTTTCCATTGTCATAGATAATTTGTCACCTTAATCCTATACTCTAATACGAGCAATGTTTGCTTGTATGTATGTATGTATGTATGTATGCTTGCTTGCACAAAGATCTCGAAAACGGTTCCGACGATTTTCTTCAAATGTTGTAAATAGTTTAATTCTGGCCTAAAAACGAGTTTACTGCAGTTAGAACTGCCAACAAAAATCTAATTACGTAGAAAAATGAAACTGAAAATCACATTTTTTTAACATTAGTCTTATGGGTTGCTAGGTAACCTTGTTGGCTGAATTAAATAACAAGGAAAAAGTAAACAAAAGACTTGAAGTTGTAGCATGTGTTCATAATAAGCCAACTACCCACAGTATACTAGCAAATTACAAATACAGTACAAAAGGAAAAACATCATTTAGCAAAGATTATACTGAAGATTACTCGATACATTGTAGTCAAGGGTAGCAGTGAGAAGTCTGGGATCTGTTTATGACGATTAGATAAGGGTATGGGCAATCCTAAAATGCTATGGAAAGGGAGGGAATCAGGTCCGTGACGTAGGAAGTGGTGAAGGAAGTAGTCAAGGCGAGTAGTCCGGAGCGTGGGAACTGTTCATGACGATTAGATAAGGGTATGGGCAATCCTAAAATGCTATGGGAAGGGAGGGAAACAGGTCCGTGACGAAGGAAGGTGTTAAGGAATTAGTCAAGGCGAGCAGTCCGGAGTGTGGGGACTGTTTATTACGATAAGATCAGGGTATCTGCAATCCTAAAATGCTATGGGAAGGGAGGGAAACAGGTCCGCGACGTAGGAAGTGGTGAAGGAAGTAGTCAAGGCGAGTAATCCGGAGTGTGGGAACTGTTTATGACGATTAGATTAAGGTATCTGCAATCCTAAAGTGCTATGGGAAGGAAGGAAAACAGGTCCACGACGTAGGAAGGTGTTAAGGAAGTAGTCAAGGCGAGCTGTCCAGAGTGTGGGAACTGTTTATGACGATTAGATAAAGGTATGGGCAATCCTAAAATGCTATGGGAAGGGAGGGAAACAGGTCCGTGACGTAGGAAGTGGTGAAGGAAGTAGTCAAGGCGAGCTGTCCGGAGTGTGGGAACTGTTTATGACGATTAGATTAAGGTTTCTACAATCCTAAAATGCTATGGGAAGGGAGGAAAACAGGTCCGCGACGTAGGAAGTGGTGAAGGAAGTAGTCAAGGCGAGTAGTCCGGAGCGTGGGAACTGTTTATGACGATTAGATAAGGGTATGGGCAATCCTAAAATGCTATGGGAAGGGAGGGAAACAGGTCCGTGACGAAGGAAGTGGTGAAGGACGTAGTCAAGGTGAGCTGTCTGGAGCGTGGGAACTGTTTATGATGATTGGATTAAGGTATTTGCAATCCAAGAATGCTATGGAAAGGGAGGAAAACAGGTCCGCGACGTAGGAAGTGGTGAAGGAAGTAGTCAAGGCGAGTAGTCCGGAGTGTGGGAACTGTTTATGATGATTAGATTAAGGTTTCTACAATCCTAAAATGCTATGGGAAGGGAGGAAAACAGGTCCGCGACGTAGGAAGTGGCGAAGGAAGTAGTCAAGGCGAGCTGTCCGTAGTGTGGGAACTGTTTATGACGATTAGGTTAAGGTATCTGCAATTCTGAAATGCTATGGGAAGGGAGGGAAACAGGTCAATGACGTAGGAAATGGTGTAGGACGTAGTAAAGACGAGCTGTCCGGAGTGTGGGAACTGTTAATAACGATTAGATTAAGGTATCTACAATCCTAAAGTGCTATGGAAATGGAGGGAAACAGGTCCATGACGTAGGAAATGGTGTAGGACGTAGTAAAGGCGAGCCGTTTGGAGTTTGGGAATGGATCTATGTGTCTCCAATACAGTACTAAGACTGCTTTCAGAGTGGACTAATGATTTTCCCCGAGCAAAGCTCGGTCCCCAGGTACTGGATAGATAATATGTACACAATCTTAAGGTATGTCTCGGACCATTATGTAGAGCATGTTTTGATTTTTACTTTATTTATAGTTATTTTTGCAACTTTTAATACAATTATCATCGTTTCTCTGGTATTTTAATCAAAGATTAACACGTTCCCTACCGACAGTCACACTCCTCTGCTTCTAAGGGGTGAGTATATTTGGTAGCTAATTTATTAAATCAGGGCCACTTTAATAAATGGGCCCGAGCCCAAGGGTGCAAGAGGTTTTAGGTTTGTTGGTGTTGCAATGAAGAGATCCCCCACAACTGCGGGCCTGGATTAAAGCGCTCATAGCAGTACTTTCCTCAGATAACCTTAAGGATTTTGTTGACAATAGCACAGTCAAACATAACCAAACATGGAACACCGTAAAACTGCAAGAAAAACAAAAATAAGGCTTCATATTCTACAACAGGATAAAAGCACTTTTTCAGTATATAAATTCGAAGCTATGGCATGTGGAACGATTTGTTACTCGGTGCAGGTACTAATCTTATGTCCAGTTTCAGAACATTGCTGTCACAAGTGCGGCCGTAGATACAAATACAAGCGAAGCATGACTCGTCATCTGAGGTATGAATGCGGAGCCGAGTGGTTGTTTCCATGCAGCTTCTGTACCTACAAAGCGAAGCAGAAGGCTCACTTGATGAGTCATATTGCTCTCAGGCATTGTAAAAGTGCAACTTGAATAGTTAAATGAATCTTCTAATATGCTTGTATTCATTTCCCTGTGGTATGTCTCTACAAAAGAATGTACAAATTTAATGTATGTTCTGAAGTTATTTGGGTGGTTCCTTACCTCTTTAGGGCTCATTAAATCCTCTGATCAGTGAATCAGCTGGATTTGCAATTTAGGTGGATTGAAAGTAGTACCAACATACCCTATCCACGGTGATATATTGGTATCACTTCAGAACGTTTATTTATGTAGGTACTTAGTTTCAAACTTTTTATTTGACGTACCGGTACTCTTAACAACATAGGATAATAATGTGTTTGTTTGAGTTTGTTTGAGAGCGCTCTCAGACTTTGTTGAGGAAGTGTCATGGGCCTTGGATGAGTCGCATAGCACAATGGGGGTGTTTTGTGACTTATCCAAGGCGTTTGACTGTGTCAATCATGATATCCTCATTAAAAAACTAGAGTCGTATCCCTTTTCTGGAAATTCAGTGTCATGGTTGAAATCTTACTTAAATAATCGCTATCAGAGAACAGTCATTTGTAAAGATAATTTAAAAGTAAAGTCAGAATGGCAAAAAATTAAAATAGGTGTGCCTCAAGGTTCGATTTTGGGACCTCTTCTATTTCTTATATATATCAATGATCTTCCAAAAAATGTTTCAAATAATCTAATTCTGTATGCAGATGATACTACTGCAGTAGTTAAAACAAAAAACAATGAGGGATTAAAACATAAAATTGAAGAAAGCCTAACCGAATTGGGGAAGTGGTTTGAGATCAATGGATTGAAAATGAATGAAGAGAAAACCAAATTTGTAAGATTTTGTACACCTCAATCAATGGCACTCACTGATCAATCTCAACCAACTGATGATAATGTAAAATTTTTAGGGCTATATATTGATAAACACTTGACCTGGAGTAAGTGCATTCAGTCGGTAATTGGAAAATTAAATTCAGCCTGTTTTCAAATGTTATGCTTAAGAAATTCTATAGACCTGAAAACTTCTGTCATGCTCTATTATGCTTACTTTTATTCAATAGTTCAGTATGGAATTGAATTTTGGGGGTTCGCCTCTGAAATTGAAAAAGTTTTTAAAATTCAAAAAAAGTTTATAAGAATTATGACTTTTTTACCATGGAAATCTTCGTGCAAAACAGTTTTTAAAGAATTGAATATTATGACTATTCCAAATTTGATTATTTACAAAACATTGTTAGCGGTGCATTCAAATTTTGATGACTACATTAGCGAAAACTTTGACCACATATATAACACTAGATTTAAAAATAATTTCCAATATCCGAGACACCGACTGAAGCTTGTAGAAAAAACACCTAAATACATGGGAAAAAAACTTTTTAATAAACTACCCTCAACTCTAAAAAATGTAATTAATAATAAATCTTTTAAAAGCAGCCTTGCTGATTTTCTGATTAGCAAAACGTATTACAGTGTTAATGATTACCTCAATGAAACTAACCAATCAATATGACTCTATTTTGTATGACATAGAAACTAATTTTTTTTTCTGTCATCGTTTAACTAATTTTGCCAACTTGTTTACAAACATTTTTTATGCATAAGACATATTGTTGTACATTAGGTTAAGTTAGTAATAATTTTGACAATGTCATCTGTTTTTTAGCTGTGCTATGATTTAAAACGTTGATGTCACAATAAAAAATTATTTATTTTATTTATTTATTTTATTTGTTTATAAAGTGTATAAACCTGTTAGCAGAGTAAAAACGGATATCTTATTTTAAATACCACCTCACCTATGGTTTTCCACCGTGGGAGGGACTCACCTTGGAAAAAATATTAGTTGAGCAGAAAAGGGATTTAAAATTTCTCGCAGGTCTCAGTTCCCAGAAAAGTCAAATTATATATATCTGTGAATTAATCTTTAACCCACAGATAAAAAAGATACCTGCACAAAACACCACGCCAGAAATTTACTCAAATTTATTCCTACCAACACTACCACCCCCTGCTACATTCTTTATCCCATCAAACACACCTCTGCATTTCAAAAAGAAACTATCTTGCCCAGTATAGGACTTTAAAGCAATGATGTTCGCTTAGGTTAAACAAAAATTAACCACATTACACAAGTTCAATTTCACAATTTAAATCTCAAAAATACAGTGCATCCCCTACGATTCATATCCATAAATACAAATTTCAGACATTTTGTTGCAGAACATATGATTAGGACAGATCCCTAATTTGTTTTTACCTAGGAAAACATGTGCAGGCCATTTTTTACAAAATTTGTTTCCGGCAAAAACCTATGAAGAATTTTTTATGTAAAATATCCTTAGAATAATCTTCTCACCAATGGTAGCCTTAGAATATTATTTCTTTATTTCCTATTTTGCAGCATCTACCTGCGACGTGTGTGGCAAGTCGTACAAATACCGTCGCAGCATGTTGCGCCACAAACGCTACGAGTGTCAACGGACAGCAGGCCAATTTCCTTGCCCCTTCTGTCCATACCACACCAAGTGGAAGTCAAATCTACAAAGCCATATGCTTTTCAAACACGTATCGAAATAATATCTGTTGCAGTATCAATAAAACAAGATTTACAACAACGGTTTCTTCTTTTAGTTCCTCTCGATGTAGTCGTTCCTTTCCTGTTTAAAAGAGTTGGATGGTATTTTTTTCTTATGATAGATGAACTTTTAACTGAGTAGCTAGTTATCTAGTTGGATAGTGCTCGCTTTGTCACCAGGTCCTAAAAGAAAAGACAGTAGCTTTTTGATGGTTCACAATTGGGCCCAGCTGTCCTTTATAACTTAAGTAACAGCAACACGTAAGTTACACAGTTATTTATTTATTTTTTCATCCACGCAAACACACTATTTAAGGTATTTTAAGGTGACAATAATATTTTATTTTCAATACATGATACCATGGATTGTTTGATCTGAAGTAGGCATCCCATCTAAATAGACCAGTCTCAATTTTTATATTAAAAATAATTTAATCATCCAGTCACAGAATGCACTAGTGTCAATATTTTTGTTTTAAACTTTATTCTTTGTTAATGAGATTGTTGATGTGACTTAGTTGGTTTAGCTTACTATAGGTCGTCTTAAGTTTGACTTGGTTAAAATGTTTGGGTATTCTTCAAAAATCTGTAATTTACATCAGAGCAATCTATCGGTGGATCAATTCAACTTCGTCCATTTTGATTTTTTTTACTGGCACAATTTTTACATTGGGGTGGAATGTCTATAGTTATCTCAATAGCCATAGATCAGTATTGCTAATTTATTATAGGAGACAAGTGTCAAATAATATATACAGGAAATAAAACAAAAATATAATTCTATCATCTATGGGCTAGGCCCAGCACAATTATCTTATGAAATACAGTGGGTCTTGTTAATAAGATACTATTCTGTTGTCATATAATTTTGAACTTATTAAAATTTTTTTCTATACAATTTTGATCTTGCGTTTGATTTTTTTTTAAAGAAGGAACTCAAGCGTCTGATACTGAGTAGTTACTAATATTTTAATCTTCATAAATTATGGAAATGTTATCCATAACATATTGGCTAATAATACGTTTGATCAGGATGTTAACTTTATTAATCTAAGCAAAGGAATTTCTGATTTTTTTTTTTTTTTTTTTTTTGTGATGGAGTATAAAAACGCCTTTCTACTGAATTCGATCAATTATCTTCAATTCTTCAACCAATATCTCGAAGAACATCGAACACACACATTTTACTAGTAACTAATTTTCTTTGAATATTTTTATCAACTTAATCCATCATTATTTTTCAGCTCACCACTTTGCTGTATCCAAAGAGTTTCCGTGTGTTGAGTGTGGAAGATCGTACAACCGCAAAGACAATCTTCTTCGTCACCAGAAATTTGAGTGCGGTCAAGATCCCAAGTTTTTCTGTCACGTTTGTCCTTACAACTCCAAACACAAGGCGAACCTAATGGCACATATTCGTCGTAAACACATGGACGTCGCTCTAACTACTGAAGTTTAGTACTTGATTTTGGATGCAAACCTGCCTTTGTGTCACTAATTTGTTTGTAATAAATATTTATATGGATTTGTTGTCATTGGGAAGAATCAATGTACTGTTATTAAACATTCACTTTTGGATACTAACGTTCCATTAATAGTCAAAGATGGTACTTAGGTTGGTTATCATAGTGATTTTGGGAATAAATTGTTGTAAGTTTACCGGGCTTGTTTGTGTAAATTTTCTGGAAACTTGTAAGATATATCTTGAGGCAATTTTTAACTCATTCAATCATCAAGTGGTTAAATTGAGGTTTTTAGCTAAACAGGTGAAAACCCTCACTTTATTTTTACATGTATGTGCCTATTTTCACAGTGTATATATGGCCAACATTAAAATCCTATTAAACCTTCGAGTCTTGTACCTAGATTTTTCTGTCACAAAAGTCTCTAAGAATAATTGTCATGGTAAGAAAAATATAAGAACTGAGGAAAATGAAATAAAAATTAACTATTGATATGTTAATATTTTTTTTTACATTTGTACTATTATTTCTTTCTTTCTTTCTTTTTAAAACAAAAACGTGACAAATATATATAGTTTTTTTTACATAATTATTATAATGTAAATATATGTTATATACTGCTGTTGATTTTTTAATCCACTCCCAACTTTGGTCAATAATATACTGAACTGGTATGCACTAATAAGTATTAAATTAACATTTTACTCCGGGAGAAACCCAGTATGTTGGGATATTTATAGACATGCACTGTGGATGTGATGCTCCCTGGTGTGGATTAACATCCGCACTAGTGAGTACTACGACTATACACAGTGCTATCCTGATAATTAGACCAATTCGTTAATTACAAGGAAAAAATCTGGTCGGATTCCACTCTAAACTGTAAGTCCCTTAGTTGTCATTGGCTGTATGGGCTATTAATTAACAGCTGTGTCTAAGGAAAACTTCAGCCTTAGTCACAAACAAAACTACAAATCTCATCCTACACTCGATCTTCACTATTTGGGTTAAAATATGCACATAGTGGCGTCCCCATCTTAAATAATTGTTATAATTGTAAATCAAATTATACCTTAATTTCAATTTCCTTGATCCACTGTTAGTGGTATAGACTGTTTCAACGTTTATTGCTTTTAGAGTAACCTAATTGTTGTTTAAGCTAAATTTCTTCTTATTATCTAGGTTACGTACCTTATACAGTCAAAACAGTTCTGATACAGTCACTAAAGGACGATGCGCATTTCAGAGCTTTTAAGCTCTATCTTCAGGTCCGTGGATACATTTGTCAATTCATCTTGCAGATTCGTCAAAATATTTAAACATTAAAAACACATAACACAAACACATAATTCATTACGTTAATACAGGTACTGTACATGTGCCGGCCGGCTATAGATCCCGAATGAGAGTCGGGATCTATAGCCGGCCGGCACATGTACAGTACCTGTATAAACGTAATGAATTATGTGTTTGTGTTATGTGTTTTTAATGTTTAAATATTTTGACGAATCTGCAAGATGAATTGACAAATGTATCCACGGACCTGAAGATAGAGCTTAAAAGCTCTGAAATGCGCATCGTCCTTTAGTGACTGTATCAGAACTGTTTTGACTGTATAAGGTACGTAACCTAGATAATACTTTGAATAACAGTTCAGGAGGCAAAATAATGAATAAATTTCTTCTTCACAATTTAATAATGAATTTAGGTACCTACGTAAGTTTATCCTTTGAACTGTATATATTTTTTTAAATCTAAATGTACATTCATACAAAATGGTAATTGTTTTCCAGCTATTAGCTACACATCCTTCAAGGTCACAGACAAATTCTCTTGTGAGAAATGTGGAAGATCTTACAACCGGAAAGACAACTTACAGCGACATCAGAAATTGGAGTGTGGACAAGATCCAGGCTTCTTTTGTCCGGTTTGTCCTTATAAGACCAAACACAAGAGTAGCCTGCGCAAACATGTTTGCCTAAGACACGTGGAATATGCTAAAACTATTAATTTTGTGATTTAGGGATGCAAAATGTATCAGACTTGTACATAAGAGACTAAAAGAATTATTCTGTGTACTATAAAAATGTTTGTGAGCACAAATTGTTTAAGTTTTGTATTTAAGCTGTGTAAAACATTTGTTACTATCATTCATTCAACTTTAAAAAAGCTTGACCGAAAATTGATCTTTTTGGAGGATTTCTTGATGGCCTTATTGTTAGTTTATGCAATTAGAAACTAAAAAAAAAACTTATTTTGGCACTTGATTAGCATTCATTTTAAATAATTAAATTTTGTGAACAAATAAACATTTGTTATATTTAGCATTGTGTTTTGCTTAGTTACAGATACACAACCTAAAATTGTTATTTGTGTAACTCGTGTGCGAAGCAGGACTTTGCTGCACACGAGAGAAACGTTTACGTACCAGCCACAGGCGAGTGTGGAAAGTTTTCTCGAGTACACCAATGGCACTTTGCACTCTTGTTACAAATGATATTTTCCTACAGTTACTATAAAGCATCGAAATAATTAGTTTTTCAAACAGTAAATATCGTGTTTATGCTTAGGTTATAAATCCAAGCGTTTGAACGAAATGGGAAACAAATGCACCATCTGATCGTAGTTGTAGTATCTTTAAATGCTGCCAACCTATTTCCAAGCGTACACGGATTATGTGCATGATAAAAGCGCGCTGTTTTGTGTTGTTTGGTTGGAATACTGGTGTGCGGAAAAAAAAACTGTGCGGCAAAAGTAAGTGAATGCATCAATTAGCAACTTTCTGTACTAATCAGTGCAAGGAAGCCCACTTTGTCAGGTGACTGTAGGAATAATATATATTACGCGATGGCTAAATTGCTAGCTAAAGACAATGGTTTTAGTTCCATAATTTCACAACCATATTTACATTTGTGCATAGTTTTTATTTTTTTGCTACATTTTGCGACTAATTTAATGTTTTGTTTCGAGGTCCCTAGAGGCCAAAATCACCATCCATTCAAATTCTTATATATATATGTGTCCGTTAGCACGATAACTCGAGCAAAATTTATCCGATTTCGATGAAATTTGGTATGAACGTGTAAACCCACATTTACTTAACAGGTTCGCAAACCAGCTTGATCGGACTATAGGAACGGGGTTTTATCGGGTACAAATGGGGGTTTTCCCATATTCACCCTATAAAAACATAAAATTTTGCAATGTTTTTACAACCATTTTGTAGAGCTTGAAAAAACAAATAACTTGTTATGTTGAAGTGTTATAATGCGCCTAATGCTTACAGAGAAAATTCCAAAAAATTGTAATTATAAAATTCCCATGTTATTATTATGGAGAATAAATAAACTGTTGTAGTTTGACTGTTTATGGACATATTTTGATCAAATTTGGAAAGTTCATTTATTTTATGCTAAACCATTAACTTTTCACAAATAGAAATACTTTTTGCCCTCCCTGTTGCAGCAAACCTAAGTACTCATTAAAATAATGCTATTTAGATAGGGAATAAATAGGATATTTTTTTTGGAGATATTTCATTGTAAATCCAATCAGGCAAATAGAAATTTGCTTATACTGCAGGTTTGCTGCGGCGGGGGTATTAATAAATTTTTTGTATATTTTTAGCACTTACTCCAGTATTGAATGTTTATCCAACCTTTAATTGTTTTCCAGTGATTGGCTACACATCCTTCAAGATCAAAGACAAATTCTCTTGTGAGAAATGTGGAAGATCTTACAACCGGAAAGACAACTTACAGCGACATCAGAAATTGGAGTGTGGACAAGATCCAGGCTTCTTTTGTCCGGTTTGTCCTTATAAGACCAAACACAAGAGTAGCCTGCGCAAACATGTTTGCCTAAGACACGTAGAATATGCTAAAACTAATAATTTTTTTATTTAGGGATGCAAAATATCTCCCACTTGTTCATATAAGAGACCAAACTGTTTACTCAAATTAATTAAATTTTGTGTTTTACCGGTGTAAAACATTTTCGAATATCATTAATTCAATTTTCAATAAGGTTAGCTAGCAGTAATTTAACTTTTTTGACAATTTTTATGGTCTTATTGTTGGGTTAGGCGATGAAAATTTAAATTGTTAATTCATTACTTTATGAACTAAAAAATCATATTTGTGCATACTTGTACATGATTTATATGTATTTAAAAATACTTTGCTGTTATGAACTAATAAATATTTTTTACATTTATGTTAGGTAGTTTTTTTCTATACACAACCTAAATCAAAAATATTACATCATGTTTCTCCAACCTTCACTTAGTCCTTATTGTTACTAGTTTGTTACCATCAGATATAATTAGATTTACGGTTCACTAATAATTTTAACCCCTGTTACAAATTACAGACTCTGGATACGAAGTGGTCTTGAAGGATGGCAAGGAAAGGTTTGTTTGCGTGTCCTGCGGACGATCGTACAGCCGCAAACCCAATCTGCGTCAACACCAACGATACGAGTGCAACACTGAACGTCAGTTTGCGTGCCCAGTCTGCGCATACAGAGCCAAACGGAAAGGGACTCGGAATACACATATTAGTCTGATACATCCCGAGTACTGGCAACAACACAGCTTAACACTCACGAAATAAATCTTGTGACATTGAGTGCATCTATGATTTTTTTGCTAGGATTGTCGGTACTTACGTATTAAACGGAGGCCACATTTTGTCAGCGCGCTGCGGCGGTTATGTTAGGTTGGGTTATCGTAAATATTATGTGTGTAGGACTTTTCTCGCTTCGTTATGAATCGAACGATACCAGACGAGTTATACTTTCTATTATGATAACCCAACCTAACATAACCGCCGCAGCGCGCTGACAAAATGTGGCCTCCGTTTAATACGTAAGTACCGGATTGTCTATGGATCCATGAAAAATAATATTTCAGGGTTTTTTTTAAGAGTTAATATTGGAAATCTGTTTTTTAGTCACAAATAAATTTGATTTGTTAAACTTTTGTTTGTTTGTTCTATAAACAGATATTTTTTAATTAATACTTTAACAAAGGTTACTTCTTATGAAGAAGACGCAAGCCAACTAAGCAGTTTTTTCATTGTTGTATAGAGTAAATAAGTTTACTGACTTTTTTCATCCTGGCTCAAATATAGCTCAAATAAACAACTACCACTCAAAAACAAAGGCAAACAAAAAGGTACTAAATGGATTATACAATATTATACAAAACCTAATTTGGTTCGGTCTTAGTTTCAGAGTTCATGAAGAGTATACAAGGAATAAAAAATCCGTCGGTATTTGTGTGTCCAAACTGCGGTAGAAAATACAACAGGAAAGACAACCTTCAAAGGCATTTGAAGTATGAATGTGGCGTGGATCCGAGATTTCAATGTCTTTATTGTGACTATAAAGCCAAACAAAAGGGAAACTTGCGAACACACATGGCGCTTAAACATCAACAGATCAATGATATATCAATGTCTTGTTGAAATATCAAACTTAAGGGGACTGTGACCGTAAAAATTATCAAAAATTGCCATTTTTATTTTTTGGTCTTTTATTATTAATTAAAATCTTCTGATTACAACGGTATAATTATTTTTTTTCCAGCTTGACTGGAAGTTAGTAAAAAAAATAAAAGAAAATGTTTTTACCCGGTCTCATAGCAACAAAAAATTGTTTAGTTATCTTGAAAGCTAGCCAAACACTTTTATATGTATGGGTAATATTAATCTCAAGCAGTGATTTTACTTTGAGGGTTGGCTAACCTGTTTTATTGTGTTTGCTGCTTTGGCTGTGTGAAAATCATATGTCTTCTGCTTTCAGTGATTACATGCTGTGTTTGTAAACATTTTGAATAATGTGTTTGTAAACATTTTGAATAGGTAGTATAAGATTCAGTAGAGATTGTTCGTTTTAGTGATTGTAGTTTGTTTTCTTTATATAATATGGGAAATAAAAAGAAAATAGGTTCTAGACATCGAGTGTATAAAAGGATACCACAACAGAAGAGAAGTATTCCTCATAAAGCATCAGAAGGTAGGCCTTCAATGGAAACTGTAACCTCTGAAGATTTAGTATCTAGTCCTAGGCCTATGACTCCTCCAAGTTCAAATAGGAAGTTTAAGGTTAGTAGCCACTTAGATTACTACAAATTATGGTCTGGAGAAGAAATGGAATTTGATATAGTCGATGTACAACAAGTTTTTAATGAAATCAGTGAAATTGCTGTCTGTAAAAAGTGTTTCCACAGTCTGTCGATGAAAAAGAGTGCCATTGAAGGCTTAGCTATGCGACTGAAAGTTTTTTGCACTAATTGTGAAACAAATAAAGACATTTTGAACTGTATAAAGGTAGAAGAAACAATAAATGAAAAGACAGTGTCCTATTATGACCTAAACCTTCGTCTCGTACATGGTTTACGACAAATAGGCAAAGGTTATACGGCAGGGCTAACTTTCCTTGGATGTATGAATTTGCCCCCTCCACCTACCAAGTAGGTACCAAAAGCATGGAGCTTTATTGTTGAGTAAAGTTGAAGAAGTTACCAAGAAGAGTATGAGAAATGCTGCTAAGGAAGCTATTTTACTAAATGGTGGGCCTGATTTGACTGTGGCCGTGGACGGAACGTGGCAAAAGAGGGGACATACCTCGCTAAATGGGGTTTTGTCGGTAACGTCGGCTGACACTAGCAAAGTCCTTGATGTTTCAGTGATGTCTAAGTTCTGTATTTGTAAAAATAGAGAAATAAACAATCATGAGACATCCTGTGCAGCAAACTACCTTGGCACAAGCGGAGGTATGGAGGTGCATGGGGCGTTGGAAATTTTTCGCCGGTCTGAAGAAGTGAATGGAGCCAGGTACGTGAACTTTTTGGGGGACGGCGATTCTAAAGCGTTTGATACTGTGAAGGAAGATAAAGTGTATGGTGATGATGTTGATTTTAATAAACTAGAGTGCATAGGACATGTGCAGAAGAGGATGGGCAAGCGGCTTATGAATCTAAAAATTAAAACTGCGAAAACAGCGCTACCGGATGGCAAGGGTTTAGGTGGTAAGGGTCGCCTTAGCCAGAGTAATATGCAAAAACTGCAAACATATTATGGCTTGGCTATCAGGAGGAATGTTCAAAGCGTGGAAGCCATGAGTAATGCTATATGGGCCGTTTTTTATCACACTATGTCCTCGGATAAGAATCCTATGCACCATCTTTGCCCTCGCGATAAAGACACGTGGTGTAAATATAACTTGAGTGTTCTCACAAAGCAAAGTTACCATCATAAAGACCACTTTCACCTTCCTGAAGAAGTTATGACCTACATAAAACCTATATTCACAGATTTGTCTGACCCAAAGTTGCTCGAACGATGCTTGGCAGGCAAAACTCAAAACCAAAATGAGTCGCTAAACAACGTCATATGGTCCATAATCCCCAAGAGGTCATTTGTTACCCTACCTACACTCAAATATGGTGTATACTCAGCAGTGAGTAGTTTCAATGATGGCTCATCAAGTAAAATTCGAGTGGTGGAAGCTTTGGGCCTTCGTCCGGGAAAGCATTTTGTGAACGCTATGAAAAAAATTGATATTATTCGGATCAAAGAAGCAGAAAAAAAAGTACAAGAAATAGCGAAGAAAATAAGAAATAGCAGAGCTCTAAAAAGGAAGCAGCTAGAAGAATTATTTGAGGAAAATGAAGACCCAGACAATCCCTCGTATTGTGCTGGGAACTACTAACTGCTCAGACTCTTTCACATGGGCCTACGTTTTCTGCGATTCCCGTAAGTTAGCTTTTTATAACTTTGATGTCACTTTTCTCAGCTATCTGTAGGACTAGAGTATCCAAATTTTTACCACATATTTTATACTTAATATACTAGTTCCTCCCAGAAGGATTTTGATTTATTACACCCACGAGTCACAAAAAAAATTTTTTTGTACTAAATTTCTATGAAAAAAATTGTAATTTTTTGAAAACTAAAAAAAAAACCCTTGGTGTAAATATTTTTTTTTAATCTTCTAGGAGGAACTAGATAAACATATGGCCTTTAAAATAAAAAAAAAATTAAGGCTCTACCTGTCATAGTTCTCTAGATAGCCTATGTGACATATAGATAACATTATATAAGATAGGCAGTCACAGTCCCCATGTTGAAGTGTTATAATGCGCCTAATGCTTACAGAGAAAATTCCAAAAAATTGTAATTATAAAATTCCCATGTTATTATTATGGAGAATAAATAAACTGTTGTAGTTTGACTGTTTATGGACATATTTTGATCAAATTTGGAAAGTTCATTTATTTTATGCTAAACCATTAACTTTTCACAAATAGAAATACTTTTTGCCCTCCCTGTTGCAGCAAACCTAAGTACTCATTAAAATAATGCTATTTAGATAGGGAATAAATAGGATATTTTTTTTGGAGATATTTCATTGTAAATCCAATCAGGCAAATAGAAATTTGCTTATACTGCAGGTTTGCTGCGGCGGGGGTATTAATAAATTTTTTGTATATTTTTAGCACTTACTCCAGTATTGAATGTTTATCCAACCTTTAATTGTTTTCCAGTGATTGGCTACACATCCTTCAAGATCAAAGACAAATTCTCTTGTGAGAAATGTGGAAGATCTTACAACCGGAAAGACAACTTACAGCGACATCAGAAATTGGAGTGTGGACAAGATCCAGGCTTCTTTTGTCCGGTTTGTCCTTATAAGACCAAACACAAGAGTAGCCTGCGCAAACATGTTTGCCTAAGACACGTAGAATATGCTAAAACTAATAATTTTTTTATTTAGGGATGCAAAATATCTCCCACTTGTTCATATAAGAGACCAAACTGTTTACTCAAATTAATTAAATTTTGTGTTTTACCGGTGTAAAACATTTTCGAATATCATTAATTCAATTTTCAATAAGGTTAGCTAGCAGTAATTTAACTTTTTTGACAATTTTTATGGTCTTATTGTTGGGTTAGGCGATGAAAATTTAAATTGTTAATTCATTACTTTATGAACTAAAAAATCATATTTGTGCATACTTGTACATGATTTATATGTATTTAAAAATACTTTGCTGTTATGAACTAATAAATATTTTTTACATTTATGTTAGGTAGTTTTTTTCTATACACAACCTAAATCAAAAATATTACATCATGTTTCTCCAACCTTCACTTAGTCCTTATTGTTACTAGTTTGTTACCATCAGATATAATTAGATTTACGGTTCACTAATAATTTTAACCCCTGTTACAAATTACAGACTCTGGATACGAAGTGGTCTTGAAGGATGGCAAGGAAAGGTTTGTTTGCGTGTCCTGCGGACGATCGTACAGCCGCAAACCCAATCTGCGTCAACACCAACGATACGAGTGCAACACTGAACGTCAGTTTGCGTGCCCAGTCTGCGCATACAGAGCCAAACGGAAAGGGACTCGGAATACACATATTAGTCTGATACATCCCGAGTACTGGCAACAACACAGCTTAACACTCACGAAATAAATCTTGTGACATTGAGTGCATCTATGATTTTTTTGCTAGGATTGTCGGTACTTACGTATTAAACGGAGGCCACATTTTGTCAGCGCGCTGCGGCGGTTATGTTAGGTTGGGTTATCGTAAATATTATGTGTGTAGGACTTTTCTCGCTTCGTTATGAATCGAACGATACCAGACGAGTTATACTTTCTATTATGATAACCCAACCTAACATAACCGCCGCAGCGCGCTGACAAAATGTGGCCTCCGTTTAATACGTAAGTACCGGATTGTCTATGGATCCATGAAAAATAATATTTCAGGGTTTTTTTTAAGAGTTAATATTGGAAATCTGTTTTTTAGTCACAAATAAATTTGATTTGTTAAACTTTTGTTTGTTTGTTCTATAAACAGATATTTTTTAATTAATACTTTAACAAAGGTTACTTCTTATGAAGAAGACGCAAGCCAACTAAGCAGTTTTTTCATTGTTGTATAGAGTAAATAAGTTTACTGACTTTTTTCATCCTGGCTCAAATATAGCTCAAATAAACAACTACCACTCAAAAACAAAGGCAAACAAAAAGGTACTAAATGGATTATACAATATTATACAAAACCTAATTTGGTTCGGTCTTAGTTTCAGAGTTCATGAAGAGTATACAAGGAATAAAAAATCCGTCGGTATTTGTGTGTCCAAACTGCGGTAGAAAATACAACAGGAAAGACAACCTTCAAAGGCATTTGAAGTATGAATGTGGCGTGGATCCGAGATTTCAATGTCTTTATTGTGACTATAAAGCCAAACAAAAGGGAAACTTGCGAACACACATGGCGCTTAAACATCAACAGATCAATGATATATCAATGTCTTGTTGAAATATCAAACTTAAGTGATGAGAGACGTGGCGAGATATAAACGTCCTGAAAAAGATCCTGGATTATTAGCTTAATGTTCAGTCATTGACTATATATACCTTATAGTCAATAGTTCAGTGAACTCATCAAAAATAAAAATTGACCAAGTGACTTTCAAGTCTTCCTTACAATTTAAGCTTTTGCTATGTAATTTTGTTTGAATATTTTTTTACTTCTTAGACAAGTTTGATCATACACTACTCTTGTTTAAGGAGACCTTATTTTAGGTTTTGCTAGTTATATTTTACTATTAAAAGTATAACGTCTACTCTTTTTGTTAAACATTCTAATCACTACACTAAGACTAGAACACTAGACTCTTGTATGTAGAGTATTTTTTTTCTTGTGTATTCAAGTATTCTTTAATTTTGATTTTTCATCAATAAAAATATGTAAATTTATGTGTTTAATCTTGAATTTTACCCTCCCCAAGGTTTTTTTTTCTTTCTAAAACTGTAATTTTTCATAGAATTCTATAAGAAGCAGTAATTAAAATTTGTTATTCATGCAATACATATTTTTATACACTTTTAATACCAACTAAAAAGACACTGTTTGATTTACCCTAAATTCAATTACAAAAACAAGAGACAATGTTTCTATTCTATTCTATTCTAAGACAATAAATTCTACCAATTGACTTATAGTTGTGTTATTCATTGTTTTAATCCACATAAAGTAGTATTATTGCTTGGTGACATCTAGATGTAACAACATATAAAGATTAAGTGTTATCTAGATATTTTTAAACCAAAAGTGGTATCTTTACTGGGGGAGGTTCTGTTGGAAGGATTGTATCAGTAGAATATAGCATTGGTTCCCTTTCCATGTGAATACTTTAAAACACCTAAAAAACTTTGTTTAAATAACACAACAGCAAAAATTTAAAAAAATAACAAAACTTGTTTAATTTGGTCTGTTTTTTCTTCTAAGAAAGGTTTGTTTCACTAAACATAAAGCAGAATTTTTGTATATTCATCATTCATTTACAATTTATTTGTGCATGTAGCTTTTGTGTCAGAACCCTACAAAACACTCAGCATTATTTGTATTTGGCATGTTCTTTAATAATGTTTTATAGATTGATGTTTTTACCAATCTCTTTTCCGGAGCACAATATTCTTAATCTACTTAACTCAACTCAAACAATGGTAAGTGTTTTATTCAAAATGTTCCTCAAATTCACTTTGTATAAAAGATAAGTTGCTTTGAAGCTGTTCCATGGTTATAACTGTGGCATGATTTTAAATATTTGTTACTGAAACTATTAAAAACTTACATATTCTCAATGTTTTTGGAATCGTGCTTTCTCATTACTTTGATTTTAATTGGTGTCTCATTGCTTTCATAAATCCTTAGTTTAAAAATATTAAGTAACACATGTTTTAAAGGCTTTTTTCCTTTGGCACAAGAAACCTTATTACCAAGGCATTTAAGATGCATTATTTATTTGACTATCTTATTGAAACTGTGTCACTCCCAATGATTTTGTAAGTTGATTTTTTATTAATAAATGTTAATGTAATTGAACTCCATTCACAAAATTTAGACGGTTTGAGGGTAAGTTCCCCCACTACTTTTTTTCTTATTGCAGCAGCTGATTGACGTTTTAGTTCATGGTAGGATGATTAAGTAGAGGGATGGATTTCTTCCCCTAAAACAGCCTAAATTGTTTTAACGGAGTATAGTTATGCATTCATGATGGTATAACAACCTGCAGATTATCAATAAATATAACAAATGTTTTAAATACCTGCTTAGATGGAAAAAGGTACATAAATTGCACTCTGGTATCAACACATGATCCTTAGGCTGTACTTGGACAAATGTAGGGATTTGTCAAAAATGTTGGCATGTTTCTGCTAAAGTATTCTCATTCTTAAAAAAGTACATCATGTACACACCCATAAAACTTGAAAACCAAAGAGCTCAATCAAGATAACTGATTTTGCTGGTTTATCGTAGAAACTAATCAAGTGCAGTTTTCAAAATCTTTAGAATTTTTTTTTTTTTTTTTTTTTTTTTTGGGTGACCACACATGCTAAACTACCTCAGTGAATCTTCCAAGGGTCTCCTTCATTGTATTACCCTTGTATACTCCATTGTTATGTAGATCTCCTAAATTTTTCAGATTACCCACCACACCCCGTGGGAGGACCCACAGCTCCATGGATGGCGTCCGTCTCTCTTCTCTCGTCCCAGAAGCACCCTTGCTTCAAGTGCGGAAGATCGTACAAACGGAAGGATCATCTGACACGACATCTCCGCTGGGAATGTGGAAAGACTCCGCAGTTTCAGTGTACCTTTTGTCCATATCGCGCCAAACAGAAATGCACTTTGAAAACCCATCTACTTAGCCGTCATCAACATTTTTAAGCTCCGTTTGTTTTAATCTTTGGATTACCAATGGGCATTTAAAGTGGTGTAAATCAAGGATTACCATTTACTCCATTTTTAGCAAGCTCATATATCACTTCATAGCTATGAAGTATAAGCTATTATCCCAGAATTCAACTTCATGGTCCCTTATTTTGCTTTACAAATAGTTTTAACATTCAAAGAAGTTTTTCTCTGTGAAGTAATAAGTATAAAATCAACCTTATAGTACTTCAAAATACCTCATAGTTCTTACAAGATTTTACTAATCTATTGTGTAATCATTTGTCCTCATGTGTTTTTACTGTTATAATAAAGAAAACTTTTTACTTGCGCTTTTATACAAAAGGAGGCGGGATTATTTGATGTTGTTATATTATACATACCAATTTCACTCCCTCTTACATTTTGGAATTTTTCCTATTGTATAAAACTGAAAGAGTTTAATAAATATTTCATTAAACCTTGTTAGTTTTGTGTTTTTATATGAAATGAGATTAATGTGTTCGATGTTACAATGTTGTCAATGCTTAGAATTTGTTGAAAAGAACAGATTCAGACTATCTAGCTGTACTTTATAGAAATCTCGAGCCTTACCTTTTACTGTATAAATGGTAACATCGAAATAATTAATTGTTTTGTTATAAATTTTAAAATAGAACGTTAGTTTTAATGATAGAAAATAAGTAAATGTATGTAAGTGTATGCCTATAATTTTTGGCAATTTTGCAGTCTTGCCTATAGAGAAGGGCCTCCTGAACAATTTTACCCCAAAAGTTACCACTTAAATACCATTTGTTTAACTCATGTAGGTTATAACAATCAATAATTAATTTGAGATATTAGAAATTAAATAATTTTAACTATTATAAATATTGATTTTGTTTGACCTTTAAAATAGTGTGCCAAAACACAGGGTCAAATATGTTAAATATAATTGATGTGATACTGATACTATAGTTCGGCCGCGTAGAAAGCGACCTCCTCCAGCATTGGTTTAGCATTAGCGCGCAGGTCGTTTTCTAAGCGGCCGAACTATAATCTTATTCTACTGCATTTCCTATTGCTGTGATGTCGTCTAGTTAAATATTTCGTTGTTTTGTTATAAAAGTTCTAGCAATAAAGTTCTCAAGTAATTGAAAGTGGTTGTAATGATTTTCCTATAGATTGTCTACAGTATCAAACTACCAAAAACCGAGCCTGTATTTGGTGTTTAAATAATGTGGGTTGCCCAGCCACTAATAAAATATCAGAAGAATTAAATAACTGTTAAAGCTTCAACTTTAACAATTTATTCTACACTCTCATAACAAATTTTGGTTTATTAAGATTATGCAGATGCTATGATTTATGTATTACATATATTTACATACCATACAAAGGGGCTTCAAAAGGATTTTAACTGTGAGATCATTAGCACTGCCATTAGGCTACTTCATTGAATTTTGGATAGGCCTTCTACAGTTAAACATTTGATTCATACGGACCAGCTATTGGCTAATTTTTTATTCAAAAAGAACATACTTAAATCAGCTACGTAGAATGTAATACAGTCTACAATTTTTCTTTCTCACTTAGTTCTGGTTACTGTGGCGGTTGATGAGGTAGAATTCAGTAATTTACATCATAATTTAAAGAAAAGACAGTTGGCTAGTAAGGAATTTTGAAAAGTAATATAATTTTAATTCTTGGAAGTCCTACATCAGGAGAAAATACCAATATTGTGGTCAGTGTTCTTTACTGTGCATCTATTAGCCCTGGACTCTAATGTTCTTAGGTAAGCTAGCTGAACTATATTCCTTTGCAAAAAATTCCTTACTAATTTACATCCACAGTCCTGTTGGCGGCCAAATTCAACTACTTTCATTGCATTGTTAAAACTTGCAACAAAAATTACTTAGCAGCATTGAAATCTAATGTCTATATCATTATCAAAGTTTCTACCATGAATACTTTGCTGTCCACTGATTTTCCGTCTCTGTCCAGGTTGCTACAAGTGCCAGAAGTGCGGGAAAGTTTACACGTTAAAGACAAATCTTTGTCGTCATGTGAATTTGGAGTGCGGCCAACCTCCGAAGTTCGCGTGTACTCTCTGTCCATATAAGGCTAAACGGAAAGGAACCCTCAAGACTCACATGTATATGAAACATCTTCTTCCAAATGGATCTAAAATCTAGTTGAAACTTAGAGGTAAAAAATTCAGAGGACACGGAAGATACGCAGTACCCTTGTGAGGAGTAGGTTTTGTTAAACTGTTTTGTACCAATTTGAGTATGTGATAGGTTTTTAGAACCCCCAGATCTATCATATGACTGTGAGGTTGGTATATAACTGTCCTATGCAAGCATTAATATGTGGTATCGCAACTTCACAATTGTGAAGCAGCCTAACTTGGGTCAGAGAGATGGGTTTATACAACAGGACCAATACTTCAATATTTTAAAACGTTTTTATTAGCTCGCTTTCTTGTCCGGTAAAAATTTTGCAATCAATTCTTTATTCATTTTTAACAGAAAGCACAGACAACTTGCCAACAGATATTTTTCTGTGTTTAGTAACTGGTACCACTTCACATGGTATACATCTTGTTTACAATTTAGCCGAAAAGCTTTAATTCAAGCGTGTTTCCTCTTTATTTTTTACATCTCTGTGGTTGAAATATTTTAAAAGTAATTCGTTAAAAACAAAATGTTAAAATATTGTTATCTTTGGTGTTAATTTATACTTGGCTTCGAGTGAATTAAAAATCATTGATTGTATTTTGTGGTATTTGTAATTCTTTACCATAATTTGTTTTTATAAATATATCTTTTCACAAAGAACAATACAGTGGGTTTGGTTTCTTTTTCACTTCGTATTTCTGAGAGACCTAAGCTGTTATATTTTTGTATCTTTTGTAAATTTTGTCGTCAAATTTTAAGATCAGAAATTAAGTACAGCATTCCTAATTTCTCATTGATTTACTTTATTGTATCTTCATTTTACATTGTTTTACAAAATATTTGTAAAATCTTGTTAAAAAACTGGTTTGGAGGGCAGCTAATGGAATTTGAATAAGTAAGATAAATAGTATAGTCAAGACTTTTTTGCTTATGCACTTAACCATATTTTTTGTAGGATGTCACAAGAAACCCTCTGTAAACAACAATTTGATGAGTTTATCACTCAGGGATGTTAAAGTTACATATGAATTAGCCAAGGTTTTCTTTTGCCCCCTAAACTATGTATTTTTTAAGTGCTAACTATGTGTTTTTTGTCTAGGCCGTCACATGTGCCCGAAGTGTGGACGAGAGTACACGCTGAAACATAACCTCACTCGCCACATCAGACTAGAATGTGGTGTTCCTCCGCAGTTCAGTTGTACGCAGTGTTCCTACAGGACTAGACACAAAAGTACACTCAAACTACATGTGTTCACCAAACACAATACTGTGTATAAGGACTAGCTTTTGTTTATGTGGGTACCAAATGTTACGTCACAACTTTGCTAGTCCTTATATAATTGATTTGTCCCAGGATTTAACTTCTATCAAGCCATGCATCCTTCTGCACGGCCATAAAATAATTCATGTCGTCAAGTGCATTCACGAAGAACACATAAAACTCTACTTGACATAACGAATACTAAACTTGGATTATTAGTCGAACAATAACGTTACACGGTTGGCAACAGTGCACTCAGAAGGACATAGGCTTGATGGAAACCAAAAAGGTCGTTCACTATTAGGATGAGTCAGAGTTGTGGAAGAAAATTTAGAATCATTTCTCAATTGAAGGAATTATACTCCTTCATTACACAACAACTTGTGTTTAATTACACTACATACATATTTTTACATGTTAGATAAATTTTATTTGATTTAAAAATTATTACTGTAATCTTATGTTTCTTGAATTTGTAATAACATTTTCTTTTAAATAAAGTAAGATTTTTATTAAACCCTTAACAAATTTTTATTACAACCAAGTTATGTGGAATTTTATGCGACTAATCTCATTTTGAAACATAACTTCAACACCCATAGTCAAATTCCTTACTGTATACTCCCTCTTGTCCGGCTCCTCGGGACCGAGGTCAGTCCTGATAACGGGTTTTCCGGTTAAACCGACGTCCCCAAACACTGGTTAAAACGAACCGTTTAAATGAATACTGTATACAGTATTTGATTGAAATTTAGGAGAGCATTGTATTTAGATACGTGATCACTGGTCTCAAATCTTTCTTACGAGAAAAGTATAGTTTCAGTGCCGCCCACTTCCTGCCGATCTAATCCGGTTAAACTGTGCTGATAAAAATTGTCCGGTTTAAGAGATGTCATTTCCGTTGAGTGTAGTCCGGTTAAATGGTGTCTGGATAAGAGGGAGTCTACTGTATTATGTTATTGAACAGCAAAATCATAACTGTGACCTTCAATAGTTGATGGTAGTCTTTTTGGGTATCTGTGTGGCTATACCACTCTTAGAATACTAAAACTTACCCGGATCAATCCTTAGAACGATTGTTTAACTCTAGACCCAGCTGACTTTGATTATTAAGCATTTAATAAATCATTCTAATAATAATAGGTTAAATACCTTGTATACGTCCTCAATCCAAGTAGTCTTTTATAATGACTATAGTTTAGGGGCCCCATTGTCAAATTTTCTGTCTTGTTAATTACTGTTTAAAGCATTGGTCACCGTTGAATTTTTTGTTTTGTTTTGTTTTGTTTTGTTTTTTGTTGGCCCCGAAACTATAGTCATTATAAAAGACTACTTGGATTGAGGACGTATACAAGGTATTTACCCTATTATTATTATTATTATTCAATCCAGGAGGCAAACATGGATAAATCATTCTCTCTGAAGAGCCAACTGATCTCAGTAACATATTATCATCATTGATTTAATATTTATATTCGATGATATGATTCATGAATTAAACTTTCATCTTCATTAGGTCTTAAATCACATTAAACTCTGGTGTGTTATCATTGTAGTATACATACCCATTTTATCATTTTCATTTTTAAACATTATATCTATCCAGCACGTATATCAATATCAAGTAATTAAAGTTAGAATATAAAAAATCTATGAAAAAAAATACTGTGTGACTAGTGTTATTAAAAAAACTCATCCATTCATTCTTCCAATCTTTTTTGAAACCAAAATATTTTCAAAGTAAATATTTAGGGCACCCATCTTTTACTTGAGGATATTATTCTGCTGATCGCCAGTTTGTTTGCAGGCCAGCACATGTGTCCGGACTGTGGGAAAGTTTACACTCTGAAGCACAACCTGACGAGACACCAGCGACTAGAGTGTAACAAAGAGCCGCAGTTCTCCTGCCACTTGTGTCCTTACCGAGCCAAGCAGAAGAGTAAACTCAAGTACCACCTGTACTGTAAACACGGAGAAGTTCAGCCTTCACGGGCATATCTCAATCTCTAGTCGCAATAAATGTTTATGTTACTTATGGGTTTGTTTCTCCTCTTAGCATTTTGGTACTGGACTTTACTCGATCGTTTTTGGACTGGGATGTCGATGTGAGAGGGTTGGATGGGTACGATCGTTCTTGTGGGTGGGATCAGTCTCAAAATATCGAGTACATATAGGTAGTGTATTTCTGTTTGAAACACAGAGTCATAGAGAGATTTGTTCACTACTTCATTCAAGATAGGACTCCTTTTAAGGTCAAAATCGATAGTGGAACCTCTATAGCAGGGCCCTAAAAAAGGTCACTCTTGATAACAAATGTGCTTTTTAAATTATCCTTGATTTTGTGCTACTCCTAATCACATCTTTTTCAAACCTCGATATGAATCATCCTTGATAATAAGTTAATAATATCCATGAGAGACTTCAAAAGTTTCATGCTTAAAATGTAAAAGTAGATGAACAAACCTTTTTTTAATCAATTTTACTATACTCAACCGTTTTGGACTTGGGTAGGACTTGTATTTACAACGTGATAACTAGTATTATTGGGACGTCCAAGTTTATATTTTACGGACACTACGAACTCATTGTGTGTAGCTGAGCATCGTAAGTAGATGTTAATGTGATGTGGACAAACACATAACCTAACTAATGGACTAACAAGCTGCAACATACTGTCTGATAACAAGACGCACGCTTCATTGTTGGACACGCTCAGAACTTCTTGTTGTTCTACTGAACTCTACCTTATCAGCTGTGTGGTGGTCGAGTGGTCTAAGTGACTGTTTCAGTAATCAACCCACCTGAAAATCCAAGTTCGAATCCTAGTGAGGGCTAATACTTTTTGTTCAAGAAAACTCATTGTTAAGGTTCATTTTTGGCAAATAAAATTATTGTATTGATTTTTAGGTGTAAAAAGATAGTTAGTTTGGTTATTATATATTTATTGGTCTATATTATTAGGTTATAAATCATTAGGTTAAAATATTGCTAGAATTTTTTTTATATAGCCTATTTAAAATTTTTACTGTAAATTAAAAAATTGTTTATTATTAATTGTTATGCTATTTATTGTGATTGTTACTGTTGATTAAATTGGTATACGTTTTTATTTATTAGGTATTAGTTATTATTGTATTAGTTATTAGTAATTTATTCATGTATTATTTATTTATTTATTTCCAAGTTATCCATTACTTATACTTGTTACTTATTATTCTCACTATTCTAATTTAAAAACAAAACCAAAAGTAAAATGCCTGTAATCACACGTTCTAAAGACTTGTTGAATCTCACAGATGGATTATTTTTTATCGATCAGGAAGTTATTGACCTTGCTTCAGGTTTTTATGCTGAGCTGAGATCAACCATTGCTACTTTTGGTGAGGACTCGGTAGAAAAATTGATTCCGCATGTGACCAGCTTAATGGAAAAACTCAACAACGTGTGTAAGTCCAACGAAGAAGCTCTCAGAGAAATTAATCAGCTACAAGATCAACTGAGCATGGCTGAAAGTCGTTGTATGGACTTAAACAAAAGTTTTAAAGAAAAATCCATGGTTTGTTGTGAGTTGGAGGATCAACTTGATGCTGACATCGGTAGTCTGACCGCTGACCTGGAGAAGATCAAGGCCGAAAATAAACAGCTGAAGAAGAGGGCAGAGTCAAATGTGGACCATGAAGGCATCTTGCTGGAAAGTCAACAGAAAGTAGCTGACCTGACCGCTGACCGCCAGCGCTTGATGACTTCAATAGAAGTGTTGGAGGCAGAGATAAAATGCTTGAGGGGAGAACTGAGAAGAGCTGAGAGTCGTGCAAGGCAGAGAAGATCTTCATCCCACATGAGCCTGCTAGCGGAGCTATCAGCTGCGGAGAAACAAGAGCCTTCACTCCACACTGTTACCCCAGCTTCACTCCGCACTGTTACCCCTGCTTGCTCTGCTGCTCCCTGCACACCTCCTCGGCCTACGACTCCACACTGTGACACTTCACCTGCACCTAGGTCGGAGGAGAAGCCGGACGGACAACACAAGACATTAAGAAATGTACTTGTAATTGGGGACTCACACTTAAGGTACTCAACAAATATGTGCAAAGAGAAGGGGGCATATGTTGAATGCTGTCCAGGGGGAAAGATTTTAGACATTAAGAATGTATTGTTAGGTTATTTAGGTGTAAGTTTGTCTGTGATATATTTTCATGTTGGATGCAACAATCTCAGACGTGGCTATCGGGGGGGCCCGGGGTACAATGGGGGTCATGGGAAACGTGAGGCTCTCCACAGCATGGCTGACCTTTTGTACTCTGCCAGAACACACTTTCCAAATTCAAAATTAGTTCTGAACAGTGTTCTGATTAGGCGAGACGTTAGTTATAGAGCACTCCACGACTTTAACACCCAGGTTGAGCTGGTGTGTAACAACTTCGGTGTTACATTCGTGGAGGCTAACACGTGTGTTGGCAGAGGGGATCTCGCCCGTGATGGAGTGCACTTCAGCCGACGAGCTGTTTCTCGCCTCGGGCATTTGCTCATGGATGTGATTGGGACCCTTTTGCAGTCTCAGAATGACCCACATGTCTCTGGTCAGGGTGATGTCAACTTACTGCCTACCCCGCTTTCTCCTGTACTGGGCCATGACGCGGTGGCTGCAACTGACTGTGGCCATGGCGGCAGTCAGAGTGTTGTCACTGTGTCGGAAAACTAGTCGGAGGGGGAGGTGTGGGCAATGTCAGAATTGGTCACCTAAACATACGCTCTTTGAACACTGGATTCACTGAAATGTGTGAACTTGTCCTTGATTCGAATTTTGACATTTTTGGTGTGACAGAGACCTGGCTTCACCCTGACACTCCCTCAGACAACTTCAATATACCAGGATACAGTTTGTTGCGCTCTGATCGCCACCACATTTCTGGCTTATTTGAGGAGGAGGAAGCCGGTGGGGGCATTGCTTTATACATCAGGGAAGGAATTATGTATGACCAACATATTTTTCCAGCCAACCTTCCACCTGGTATAGAAACACTTTCTGTTGTCCTCAGGCTAAAAAGCCAGAGACTGGGTCTGTGTGTAGTATACAGGCCTCCCAATGTACGATACACTAACCTTGATTCTTTGTTTCACTCCCTATTTGTTGACTTAGCAGTTGAAGTCGACTCTGTGATCTGTCTGGGTGACACAAACGTTGATCTTATGTCAAAAACAAGTAGTGATTCTAAATATTTATGCCGACTCTTGAGAGAATCAAATACAATCCAGTTAATAAACGAGCCTACGAGGGTGACAGCAACTTCAGCCACCTTGTTAGACCACATATTCGTGGACAGGTCGGTTGAAGTCAAGAGGATCGGCGTTATAAATGCACCTAGCATATTAGATCACAGAGGGAAGTCAATCACGGACCACAAGCTTATTTTTTGTGAATTGATCCTAAGAAAAGAACAAAAGAAACCAAAGATGATCAGATATAGGGATTTTTCAAAATTCAATGTTGACCAAGCGGTAAGAGAACTTTCTGAAATAGATTGGAAAAAGATAACGATCTTACAAGGAGTAAATAATATTGAAAATGCATTGACCAATGAAATTAGAAAAGTATATGATAACCACGCACCTATAGTGTGTAAAAGGGTAACCAAGAAAGTAGCTCCGTGGAGAAATTATATAATTAAGAAACTGACGAGGGAAAAAAATAAATTAAGGAATAGATATTGGAAGTCAAGAAGTGATCCTGATTGGCATAAGTATAAGGAAATAAGAAACAGATTGAATTCAATGGTCTGGCATGCGAAAAAAAAGTTTTTTACCAACAAACTGTCGACAACAAACAACAGCAAAGATTTCTGGAAATGTATAAAGAATTGCGAAGTTTATAAGAACAATTGTATAGAAACTATTGACGGTTTTGAAGCTAATGACATTAATGAATATTTTACAAAAATGGGGTCTGGTATCAAGGCTGATGAAGAAGTTATTAAATTTTATATGACTAATAAACAAGATGAAACAAGAAACGAATGTCGATTTAGTGCTGTCACCGAAGCAACTGTAAAACTAGAGATGAATCAAATAAAGTCTAAAGCTGTAGGCAGTGATGAGATATCAATAGACATGTTAAAAGCTGTGAGTCCGTTTGCTATTGAAGCAATCACACATCTTGTAAATGAGTCACTCATCAGTGGAGTATTCCCGAATGCATGGAAGCAAAGTATTGTCAGGCCATTGCCAAAAACAGCTGCACCAACTAAGGTAGAAGATCTTAGACCAATATCAATACTTCCAGCAATATCTAAAATATTAGAGAAAATAGTGATTGACCAGATATCCCAATTTATGAATGACAATAGGCTGCTACCTAAACTACAGTCAGGTTTTAGAAAAAACCACAGCACATGTACAGCTTTGACCAATTTATTCTGTGACATGATTGATGCCAAGGACAAAGGGAAACATAGCTCACTTGTCATGCTTGATTACTCCAAAGCATTTGATTCTATGGACCATAGTATGCTGATTGCAAAAATGAAATATATGGGTTTTAGTGATAGAATCACTACCTGGATTCGCTCTTACCTTATTGACCGAATGCAGGTTACCAGATTGGGTAGTGAAACATCGTATCCCCTCGTCAAAAAACGGGGCGTTCCTCAAGGTAGCTGTTTGGGGCCTGTACTTTACACGCTTTACACAGCTGACTTTCCCAGCTGTGTAAAACATTGTACTGCACACTTGTATGCAGATGATTCCCAGTTGCACTTGTCTTATGAGCCTGGTTACATGAGTGAGGCCATCGACAAGATCAACACTGATCTGGAGAACATCTCCAAATGGTCTAGCATTAATGGGCTTAGGCTAAATCCAGACAAGTGCACTGTACTTCATACTGCCCCTGTGAACCTAGTACAGACACTGAGAGATAATGGCTTGAGCATCAATCTTGATGGCAGGAGTCTGGCAGTCTGTGACAAAGCCAAAACTCTTGGCGTCATTATTGACAGAAATTTGAATTTTAAAGATCACATCACGCATGTCTCCCAA